TGAGAGTTTCACTATAGCCGGGTAATTTGTTAATTGAACGATGCATTTGAATTAAGGAAATGTGGATACTGCGGGGTCGTTAAATTTATATAAAGTAGGTTAACGTTAAAACGTTTCGCTTCTTTGCGGTTATGAACTTTTAAGAATTCTATTATTGCTTTGTTATGATCTACGTAGGTATAAGTTAAATTTGGAGTTTTTCCTATCCTGAATATTAAATTTGATGAATATAAATTGACATTATACTATCGTGTTATTACAGACGCTTTGTTCTGTTAGATTAAAGCGATATAATTAGTATCAGTACACATTGATTAAAAAAAATAAAAAGAAAACATGGCAAAGTGTCACTCATCACTACATTAATTGGTATGAATTAATGAATAAATTGTATGAAATAGAAAAATCCAGTTGATATTGAGGTTTATAGTAAAGTATATGAGGAATAAAAATATTGTTGAAATTTGAAAAGATGATGACAACGAATTTCTGCTCCTTAAATTCAGTGGATGTCTTCTTGCGATTTTCGTAACAATCACGAAGCGTCAGAAATTCAGGGCATAAATCACCTGCCGCCCCCCCGTATCATACAGTCTGACAGAACTGCGTTATAAAGTCAAGACGTGAAGATGTCCTGGTGCATCGGCGGGCCTCTAGCATCGGCGAAAAGGGGGAGGCGGTTTTCAACCGGCGAATAGGCGGCAGGGGGACCGAGGGAGGAGAAGGGTTAGAAGCCCTCTGCCGTCGAAATTAGTGGGTGAAGGTGGCCTAGATCAATACCTAGTCTAGGCTAGTCCACCGGCTGTCCCCCTGGCCCCCCGTCCTGACCCAGACACTGCGTCACGCGCGTCGCCTACTCGGCCCACTCGCGCTCCTCTTCGTTCGCAACGTTATAGAAGCTCCCCGCGCCCTTATGCACCCCCCTCGGCGGATGCATCATCCGCCACCTCGACTCGGGGGTGCTAAATTATACAAGAGAATTGATATATTTGAGTGGTTAATATTGTAAAGGACATATATACGACCGTCCTGTATAGGCTACTAGGAAATAGAGTCAATTTTCAAACGCTGCATAACCGAGTTATCAAAGAGGCTCTCATACGGTGACGGTAATTAATACTGAAGCAAAGCTCCCACATCTCGGGAGAGCGTAAATTCATTTAAAATGCCTGCGAATAAATAAACATAAATTTGTATAAAGAGTATCTATTGTTTTTCTATCTCTAAGGTAAGTGTTGAATTATGTAGAAAATATGGGAAAAAAATATAAAATTTATGGCAATATCGTTTTCAGTTAATCGAGAATATCAGTTACTAAGGTAATTAATAAACTTATAGTAGATATACCTTAAATATTATAAAGCATTTTCTCCGCCTATATCTCAAAGTATATCTGCAAAATCCTTATTTTTTATAGTTATCTGTTTAACACTATTAGGACGTAAATTTACCTTTTAGTTCGTTTGGACATTATCATGAAAGGACCAAATTTATCGGGAAACGTAATAAAACACATGTCTAACCTCATGTAAATTCAATGAAGCAATTTGTCCAGTTTATCAAAACGCATCGCAACTGTATGGCTAGCCATGTACGTTATACAATTTTTACCGATCGTTTTACCTAACAGCATTAGAATTGAATTTAAACATTCGAGTAAAACACAAATTAAACTGTCAGTTAATTCTAATTTCACATCATTCAATTATGTGCTGCACAATATAACCTATTTATAAGAAAAGCTTCGAATGCATATTATTTGTTACTATCCCCGATGTCTGCTTTGAATATATTTCAATCTATTAATAACTATACATGAATAAAATATTATTACTGGATTAATAATATATTTCCATTAATAAAATTTTTACGTCTATGGTTCACCTAAACTCGATTTATACAATCTGCTCTGCAACATGATGATCGGCTACCCGGATGGGGGCCTCTTGTCTTCTACTCACTTTGCTCTTCGCTCGTCTGTTGACTGGGTTGGCTCTATTAGCAAATTGCTTAGGCTCTGCATCTCGTATTCCGTCTCTTATGTATGTATATGCTTTTATAAGTTCCGCGCGTTCGATTCCGTCGATTACGATTAGAATGATTGTTGTATCGAATAGGAAGAGAGAAATTCTTTACAATTTTATTTAGGAGTTCATTGATATGTTGCAATTTGAATTTATCAACTATCGGTGTTTTTGAGACATGTCTACTAATTGATCTTTGTTTTATGTTTAGTAGTTTGTCTAATTTTTATTTGGTGTCTACGTGATTATGCTTTTAAAAAATGTAATAAAATCGGTCGTTAGAAGTTGTATTCGCGGTTCATAATAGAGTGAGTAAATACGAATTGATAGGTGCAATCTCGAAATAGTCTACGAAAAGTCTTGAAGTATGATAACCAGACCCTTGTCTTGCGCAATCCAAGTTTTTAGTTGTCGATTTTTTTAATTACTGACAACAGTTGAAAACAAACAAACATTTTTTGCGAATAAAGTTCATTTGTGCGATAATTCAAGATAACTGAAATTAAGTGATATAATTTGAGTGGTTTTGAGTTGAGTTTTGAGTCTAGTGGCAAAAGATAATTTTAAATCAGCAATTTTTTTAGTAGGCTCTTTGCCGCTTCCAAATATTAGAAGTTATAGTTACAGAGTTTAGGTCGTTTAAGCGCAAAAACGTGAGAAACTGTAAAGAGGCAATCGGTCTATCTAGTCACAGTCTATTAATTCCTTCTAATATCCACCTAGCTGTACTGCAATAAAAAATAATTACATGTATACAATACAAGTGTAGACTGTAATACTCTTCGTTGTCGGAAGTCGGGAAAATTTTGAATCTTTGTTCACTTACAATTATTATAGATTGTTGATTGGTTCTTATAAACTACTCCACAAAAGTTAAGGAAGTTCGCAAATTTTGCGATTATTTTAAAAGTTACAGACTTTTTGATCACCAAATTTTCAAATGTGCGAAATTAAATGTTTTCTATCATATCTAAGAGGATTTTTTACCCCTTACCTCTACAATTCATACTAAATTTGGCGATCAAAAAACTTGCAACTTTTAAATTAATCTCAATATTTGTCAAGTTCCTTAACTTTTGTGGAGCAGTATAAAATCTAATGATATTTTCTAAAAAAATATGTTAAAGTAGGTTCCTGCAGCTTTATTAGGTAAATGCATAGTAGATCAAACTAATAAATTTTTGTGTAATTAGACATTGAATCAATTTAATTGCTTAGACGATACTCTTATGATAATAATGGCAATAAATAGGTAGACTGGTAAAACCAGTAGACTTCATGCCATAATACTTAGCACCCAAACAAAATTCGACGCTTTATAATTCGGTGTGATCCGGTGCATTTTTGTAATTCGACCGAAAAAGCAATTTGGGTGAATAAAATTTGCATAGAAGAATACTTTTGTTTCTCCCGCTCGTTATCCAACACAAATCGTAGGAACTCTTTTGCGCAACCAAGTTTTAATTGCTTTAATATTTAATTAGACGGCCTGAAATTCCCTTAGTAAATAAATAAATAATAGGCGCAAATTCAAAGCATAAATAGGTTAAAAGTTTATTTTTTTTATATTTTAAATCGCATTTCCGTTACATAATTATCATCAACGGCCATAATTCGTTAGAAAGAACACCCTAATAATACCACTTACGGACGCATTGTAAACAACCCGAGCGAAACGGCTCTCTTCGATACCCCAAAAACGCGAAACCTAGCAGAAATGTGTTGCAGATTCCCACTAGATAACGAACAATAATGAGCTCGCAATAGCGGCACGCAAATCCCCCGCGCTCCCGGCGCCCGAGCGGCCCCCCGTTTCGCCGCCCCCCAATCCCCCGGGCCCCACCGCCTCGACTTCGCGAACTTATTCGATGATCGGACGTGACCTCGAAACGCATAGGCATCGCCTATCGCCTAAATTGTAAACGTGAACGTGCCTGTCTATTTTGCAACTCGCCGAAAAACGCTTGTGCAGAACGTTCGCAAATCCGATGCACAGAGACGGACTCGAATTTATAATAATTATTCATTTATATCTTAATTTAGCTTTTCAATCAACAATTCAAAGATTTATCATGCAGTAAGAGCCTAAATTAGTTTGAGATTAAAAAAATATTCGGATGGTTAGGTACTTCAATTACCCCAAACATAGAAAAATATAAATAATTTGCAATACTTATTATATAAATTTTAAATATGTATATCTAATATTTTTGAAATAAAATTCCAGAAAATAGCTATACTTCAAATAAAGATATTCTTGGAAAATAGTAGTGTACTGTATGTACAGTACATTTCTTTTCTATTTTCGTGGATAAATCCATCGCTGGGAAGTAATCTAATGACGTGAATAAAAGAATTATAATTAGAAAATTCTTATCAATGCGCTGCTGACACGGCATGCAGTTAAAGACAGTTGCAATTTTTTTTTCGCTGAGCCGTAAATATCAACTAGAAACTGGCAGTACTTTGCCCTCGTGAAATTTTCGCTATCTTGTTTGAAAAACGATTGGTTTTAATAAAAAAAGGCGATACGCTCAGTTCGTCGAAGATACGACGGTGAAATAAAATGCGAATTATTTTTGTTTTTCGAATAAAATTTTGTTTTTAATCAAATTAATTAGAAATTCGATAACAAATTATCCCATTTTGCTAGTAAAGATAAAGGGAAATTAAATGGGACGGCTAATGTTTAGTTAGTTAACGTTTAACAAGTAGGTACACTTATGAAGAATTAATTTTGAATCCTTATATTTACTTTCATCGTATTCCAGGCAGTAAAAGTCCATTAAAAATAAGTAATTTGTTAAATAAACGTTAAGTATAGTTAGAAGTAACGGTGGATTAATTTATAACTGCGAATATCGCAAAGAAACAACCCGACGAAACTTTTCTTGTTAGTTAATTGAAGCTAATTTAGGCTTCATTTAAAGCGACTCATTTTTGCATTTTCATTATGTTTAAAAAAGGTTTTTCCATGCACTTTTAATAAATTTGAATAAATAATATACAGTTATCGATAGCAAGTAAATTTTTCATACAAAAAAAAATTCCAATTAAGATAGGTAAGTAACACCCCGTCGAAATCCCCCCGAACGGCCGTTCGCCGAGCGAGCCGAGCGAACCGGCGGAAGAAGGAAGTAAACGGCGATTGCAAGGGCGCAAGGAGAAGAAACGACGCCGTCTCTCGTGCCGTCCGCTATCGGCGATAACCCAGCGCCGGCTGCGTCGGACGACGACGTCGTCGCCGCGCCGTCATCGACGCTCCTGCTGCACGAATTTCGGGCGCGCTCGGTGCGAGCGCGACAAGAAGAGGAAGAGAACGGTGCACACACGTCGAGACGAAATGCATCGCCTTCGGGCGTCGCATTCACACGTTTTCGGCGGGGATTCGCGGGGGCGCTTCGTTTGGAGGCGGCGTTGCCGACGCTTCGCAAAATTCCCGCCATTTCAGAGATACCGCTAATTCAACAGATATCACGATTTCTTTCTATAATATAGTCTAAATTTAGGTAGCGAATATATTTAACCTCCAACAACTCACTTTTCTGTATAAAGGCCTACATAACTAATTCACTGAATAAATAGACACTCATTACAAATGTTTAGTACCTTCATATAAAAATGTGTTGAGAGATGTGGATAAACGGAAATAATCCTTATCCTCGATAATTTGGATTGCTTCAAAACAAATTTTGATATCGTAATATGATTCAAATAATATTTTAGCCTTGCTTTACTGTTTCAAGTTCAAGTTCAAGCAAACTGATTAGTTTGAAGAGGTATCAATTTTTCACGAATCCATCATTGAGTGATCAATAACAGGCGCTTCCACTCTTCTAATTAAAAGCACAAACGTAAACATAATTAAAAATACCATTAGGTGGAGTATTGTTTTATGTTTATTTGAAAAATAATAATACAAAGTCAACATTCAGTCGTTTTTCATGCGCCTTTATACATCATCTAATAATTTCATTTTTGAGTTTTATGTTGTTTTCCTATCGAGATCCTTTGAAGTATAAATGTACACAATATTGTGAAACCAGCTACTTATGTAGGTATACTACTTTAAGGTACTAACAAACTTAAGAATCCATAGAAGACTAGAAGACTTTGTAAGTACTTCTTTAGAGAAAAAACAAAGCTGCCTTCATTCTACAACTTATGCAAACGATTTCTGGCGAAAAAACGAAGCTTCTTCCATTTTACAACTTCTGCAGATAATTCTTAGAGAAAAAACAGAGGTTTGACGGATAATTCTTAAAGAGGAACTTCTGAAACTTCTACAGACAATTCTTGGAGAAAAATAGAGCTTTTTCCATTGTACAACTTCTTTAGACGATTTTTGGAGAAAATACAGAGCTTCTTCCATTCTGCAACTTCTGAAGATTATTTTTATAGAAAAAACAGAGCTTTTACGGATGATTCTTTAGAGTAAAACAGAGCTTCTTCCATTCTACAACTTCTGTAGATGATTCTTGGAGAAAAACAGAGCTTTTTCCATTCTACAACTTCTGAAGATGATTCTTAGAGAAGAAACAGAGCTTTTACGGATGATTCTTAGAGAAAAACAGAGCTTCTTCCACTTCCGCAGACGATTCTTGGAGGAAAAACCGAGCTTCTTCCATTCTACAACTTCTATAGACGATTCTTGGAGGAAAAAACAGAGCTGCTTCCATGATACATCTTCTACAGACGATTTTTGGAGAAAAACAGACCATCTTTCATTTTACAACTTCTGCAGATGATTTTTAGAGAAAAAACAGAGCTTCTTCCATTCTACAACTTCTACAGATGATTCTTTAGACGGCTTTCTGCTGGAAGCTTTAAAGTCCAATTATAATCCGATAACCAGATTAAAGTCCAGAATTGAACATCACCTATCATCTAAGGATCAATCTAGATACTTAATATAGAATTGTCCTTAGAAGTTCTCTACGCATGCATATAAAAACGCGAGCAAGATTAGAGTTAATTCACGTCCTGTTCGGTATATCGCCTGCGAATTTTCCTGGTGCACTACGAGGCAACGGCGCAATGGAAGTGGCCCCGACACCAGCAGCAACTGACATCGCGTTAGCCGCTCTAGACAGTCGGCGATCGACGTCATACCATGCCAGGTTAGAGCGAACACACAATACATAAGCCACCCACTACCTAAAACATACTATACTTTTACTTCAGAATCATTTAGTGTGTTTCGAACACGTGCAGTGTCCGCCATATTGTGGAACGGTGGTTCCGGGTGACAGTACCGTTAGTTTGCGCGGTTCCTTCTATTGAAATTCTAATGCGGGTTGCTGATCAGTGGCTGGCGATTTTTTGGTCTAGTAGAGTGCTGTGATTTTTGTGCGTTTTCGGACGCATTGCGTAATCAATGACAGAAAGGTACTGATATTTTTGTTTTGTTTCGCACTGATTTATTTATTTATTTTTTTTTTGAAAATATTAGTATTAGAGCTGCATGAGTTTACATTTTTATGGTTGCTACCGGCTGTAATAAAGCTTGATTTTTTTTGTTGCTTTTGTTCTTTTCGCGGTGGTGTTTTCCTAACTGCGTGCTATGCGTTCATTGTGCGTGCTAGGAAAAATTTAATAGCTAAAAATTTTCCGGCTTTCATTGTTTGGAAAAATTGCTGGTACTGTAAACAACCGGCGTTTATTTTTAAAATTATACTCTAATTTTTAATAAACATTTTGCACGTTTAATTTTCGGTTTCTTCGATTTAAAGTTATTAAATAAGAACATTAAAAAGTCAAGGATTATGTAGCAAAATACATGTAATTTCGTTATTATTTCCAATTGATAACAAATCAATGGAAACTGCGAATTCGACAGTTGATTGTGTGCGTTCAAAATATCCTTGAAATGTAAAAATGTTATTAAATGTTTAATAGCTCCTGCAGGTCAACCTTAGTTGGGAATCTTTAATTAGATCTAACTAATTTAGCAAATATTTCGGTAATTTTTCTCGAAATAACATATTTTGAATAATCGTGTGAAAACTTAATGTAATTTCATAATATTTTATTTTGGCGGGTTTTGAAAAATTTTATAACCAATCGATTATCCGATTTTCTGCGTCAACTTTTGGTCGTTTCGTTTGCTGTTTTATTAATTTCATTCACAGTTTTACAAAAGCCGGTTACTATTTTTCATCATCACTCTCAGATCGCATTTCTTTATGGATTATCCCATCTGTTTTCATCTTATTTAAACCACTTTTCTAATATGTATTTCATTATCAAGCTAATTACATACCTAAATCAATCAGTTAATAAATATAGAAAGGTAATTTGATTGTTTTGAATATTTCACTCGTAGGTATCTCTTGAATGACAAATATAAATAAAGTTATGTGTTGAATGATTATGGAAATAAATACGATTTTTAGTTTAAGTGCGGAAATTTAGATAATTAATTGAACATTTTGTTTGTCTTAAGCCAACGTATCTTATACACATTAAATTTACTGTATCTAATAGGTTTTTTTAATAAATCTTATTGACATTAATTGCCTTTCTTCTAATTTCAACTAGTTTAATCGGCTGCAAAGCTGCATTATCTAGGTATTGGCTAATGATCATTATAGTTCATTACACTCAATTTAATATATTATACTCATATAGGTTTTGGTAAAGCCCAAAAGGAGACTGACTTGCTTCGACATCTTTTATAGAAAAACTCCAGTACAGTATCTTGATTGAATTTTCTGGAGTTTAAACTCTATTAAAAAAGACAATGGTACTCTACACAATACTTTATAGCTTTCCCTTAGGTACACGTAAAACTTGCATTATAAAACCGTTTTCATTTCGTTTTTTTTAATTTAGTCTGTAAGTCTAGATATTTTAACGTGTTATTAAAAATGGTATCAAAATTTCATTGCCAAAAACCAGTTTTTAATTAAGGTAGCATAACCAAAACTGTTATATAGATTTAGATGAATTAAAAATGTGGAGTTTCAAAAAAAATCGCGAGCTATTGGTAGACCTTCGTCTTCAGTGTCAAAATTTACGTTGTAATTGGCACTTTCGTATGTATATACCTGAATTTTTATTATAGTTTAAATTTCTGCGTGTTAATTAAAACGGACAAGATTTTGAGGAACAATATTGCAGCATTTTGCACAACTACTCATGTATTAAAAACATTCCTTAATTGCATAGTTAATAAATTAATTTGTTAAACTAGTTTTTGCCGCCGAATTAAACTAATTAAAATGTTCTTTTTTTCATTTATATAAGGTAGGTAATAAGATTTTTGGGTATCATTTAAATATTTTGGCGTATTACTCAAACCTATTGTTGTACATGATGTACCAGATATTTGCAGCGCAAGCACAACGCACTTATCCATAAATGATTGGTAATTAGCTATCTTAAACAGCTGAATAATTATTTTATTGAAATAACACACGTATATTACCACCTCCGGTTTAATCAACCAAACCAGCAATTGCAATATGTCTGCTCGCAGGACGATTTTACGAACACTATACCTAATTGCAGCCCATAATTATTTCACAGAACCATTTTTATGTTGTATGTATAATTCAATCACACGATATCGTTTTAATGAAGTTAAATTTATGACCGTCTTATAAAATAACGCACGAAACACACTTTGCTGTTGCCTCGAAAAAATGTATCCCGCAATTTAATGATTAAACTCGGATTATTTTTGCGTGTAACCTTTTAATAATTATCCAGTTAAAACGATAATATATTTTTGGAGACGTTATGAAAAATTTGGAAAACAATCGGTAACCTGTTACAATAACATTATTCCTCTCTCCTACGCGATTGTAAGCCATGTGTGTTGTGGAATAATTCATGTACGTGGTAATTGCAACAATGCCTGCATGTAGGAGAAGAAAAAGTTAAGAAGTTAATGACTAAAAAATCCTAATTGAGTGCAGATTATGAAATTTTTAATTTAAATAGCAAATATAAAAATGACGCCTCATAAAATTATAAATTAAAATGATTTTATTTTCATTGATGTACGATGTAACTTCAGGGACAATAATAGAGATGCATAAAGAAACATTAAATAATAAATCTCTAAATAGATGCAATAAAACAGCATTGATCAAATTACTAGTAGAGAATTGAAGATTTCTATGAAATGCTGTACTTTCTTGTCATCATTGTGAAAATACCGTGGTACTTCTAATGCCTTCCAATCATAATTATTCAAGAATATTGTTCACGGCGTACTTGATAATCTGAATTATTAAATTAATAGCAGTAAGTATGTGTAAGTAGTTATTACGTAGTCATTTATTTTCATGTCTGCTGGGTATGTGGGTAACAATTCATTCACTCATTCACTGCTATAGCAAGTAAACAATTGTTTTTGTGTGTATGCTAAAACATAATACACAAAACAGCATTGTCGGCGTGCTAAATTCAGTACTAAAATTAATTTTTAATTCAAATAATACAATTAATTGTCTTTGATCGGGTAGATAAAAGGTCTGTCGATTAAAATTTTTTTAGCACTTACCATTTTCAATATTTTTTTAACTATTACGGACGCTCGTAAATTATAATTATTGATCATCAAGGATTATTGCTATATTATTTATCTCTTTTTATGCGTCTCAACATCCTGATTATTTATTGGTTATTGTTCATAATAAATTCTGCGCTACTGATTCGGTATATTTTAAAATCAAACGGATAAATGACATCGCTCTGCGTTAGATGGGAGTGCTGCAAACTTTTCAAGGGCGACATAGGAGTGTCGGACAATGCGAATTTTTGCTAATGTGCGTTTTTGTTTATAATTTTTAACGACGCGTTTACAGCGGCGAATTTCTAAAGGTACATTTTACCTTCCATATTTTATTCCGTCGAACGCTGCTATTGCTCGCCACGCGTAAGTATCGATTCATCGTCGGGCAGACGTCGGAGATTTTCTGTTAGTTTGGAAACCGCGAAATTTATTCCGCATAATTTTTCAATATTAGAATTTCCGAGGAATTTTAAACAAAGCCGATGGTTAATTTGCGTTGGATTCGGCGATTTATATGGGGCTGTCGTAAAATCATTGAGAAACATTAAACACCGTTGCTAAGAATAGACGTAATATGTTGAAGCAGAAAAATTCAAAACAATCCAATAGGCTTTTAATATTGGGTGCGAATCAAAAATGCGGTTTCTTAGTGATAAACAACTAATTAATAGTTTAAATGTGAAATGAAAATGAAAATAAAAATAGCATTTTTTTTCAGTGTGGTTGTCGTCAGGAGAGATGGGGAGTGAGCACTACTGCCTGAGGTGGAACAATCATCAGAGCAATCTCCTCGGCGTCTTCAGTCAATTGTTAAGAGACGAGAGTCTAGTCGACGTCACTCTGGCCTGCTCGGAGGGCCATTCGATCAGAGCTCACAAGGTATACACAAAAACCATTAATTCTTCTTAAATTTACCCAACATTCAAATTTTGCTTTCATCTCTATACACAATATACAGTTAAGATGTAGCACAAGGTGTTAAATGTATAGCCATTTAGATAACAAAAAATGAGAATTATCGTAGCATCTTTAACAAATGTCTGATTAATTATAAAACGAGTGGATTTGGGTGTATAGGGAATATCCATATGGATTGAAGGGGCTTCAAAATACCCACTGGCCAATGCCAAAAAAATACAGGATGATCCGTTTGAAGTAACATAAATATGGTCATTTGAAGTTGTCCAAGTTAGTCAGCCAATTTTAAACGACAAATTTCAAACTTCTAGGTGCATTAATAATAGAGATATCATAGAAAATACTTTCGACCGTTTTTCCAAAAGATATCGAAAAAAATTAAATAACTTAAACATTGTGTATTTTGGCATATGGTGTTATTATCAAAAGTTTAGTTAAAAAGGATCACAGATTCCAAAAATGTCAAAAATGGTACTTTCCATTCGAAATAACGAACTATAATTGACTATGCAGGGTGATAATTGAGTGTCGATACTTCAGGATGTGAATATTTGGATGATTTTAAGAAGAAAAGTTTAAATCAATTTTTTTCTTAAACCTCTAATTAAGTTTTCGAGCTACAGGGTGTTACAATTTCAGAAAAAAAACTTTTCTATCATAATTTTCTTATTACTTCAGATATTTTTATGAAATTTTGTACACAATTTTTAATTATTAAGGAGCATTTTTAGGGTGAATGATTTTTTAATATGTTTGCCAGTGACGTCTCTACGGGGTTTGAACTGAATATGTTTGACGCCACTGCTTTTTCTAAAAACCAAAATTATTTTTAAAATCCTCATTTATTTTGTAGCAAATTCGGTCAGAAGACTTACTTTCGTACAACAATTTTTCCCCAAGTTCTTGAGACTGCTTCTGATATTTTGTTAAAATTTGTTAGAGGCCCACCATGCATGGTAAAACTTTTTTTTTGGGGGAAAAATTAATTTTCCACTATTACCAGTGACGGCCACGTCCGAAATTTCATAAAAATATCTGGAGTAATAAAAAAATTAAGATAGAAAAGTTATATTTTTTCTAAAATTGTAAGAGCCTGTAACTCGCAAACTAAGAGCTTAAAGACATACATTAATATAAACATTTCTTCACAAAAGTAGTATCGGCATTCTCAATTAATTAACACCCTGTATATTACTCCCAAATTTTCAGATATTTGTAACTCATCAGGAACTCAATAATGAAAGCAAATATTCCACTCTCAATAATTCACTAATTTTTCTTATCCCGTTATTTCTCCCATCGCCTCAAATTCCCATATTACATTTAACTATTCCCTAGTTCTTGTAATTATCAATTATGTTTGTTATTTTCTCAAGGTAGTGCTGTCCGCTTGCTCATCATACTTTCAAACGTTGTTCGTCGACCATCCCAGCAGACACCCCATCGTCATCCTTAAGGACGTCCGTTTCTCCGAGCTCAGGACACTCATCGAGTTTATGTACAAAGGGGAGGTGAACGTAGAGTATTGTCAACTGTCCGCTTTGTTGAAAACAGCAGAAAGTCTCAAAGTCAAAGGTACTTTTTTTTTGGTCGATAGTTGCAGGAATTTTTATAGCAATCAATGACATCCGACGGTTTAATTCTGGTTTAAAAAACACTCGCTTTTTTTGCCAGTCCGTAACGGTGAAGTGCTAAAGCAATTTTCGCGTGTCCAATCGATTCTCCGACGGTTTAGCGAGAGAATAATTCTACACATTTAGAACGCCGTAACGAACTGCACGAGAATTATCCACTGTTAGAACAGTGATTTTTATGCTGCATACCATTTATCGCATTGCTTTTGAATTTTATTGCGTTGATAGCACCTACGGCGTACGTTCGCATATTGGAATAATTCGATTTTAATAATAAAATGACTCGAATTTAACAGCCGTTTTATTCGTATTTTTCTCTATAATACAGGTAAATTTTTTATTTAGGTCTTGCGGAAATGACTCGCGAATACAAACCCGTACCCGAACAAACCGAGCCCACAGAACTCACGACACGTCGCTCTCTCAGCCATAACCAATCGCGGCCCATCACGCCCAACGACATGGAAGATTCCCAGCATTCATCAAGTCCTATCCAAAATCTTCGAATATGCAAATCACCGGCGGAGAAAGATAGAGACCGGGAAAGGGATCGAGAAAGAGACAATAGAGATAGAGATCGCGAAAGAGAACGGGAAAGAGAACGAGAACGAGATCGCGAAAGAGAAAGGGAAAGAGAACGAGAAAGAGAAAGAGAAAGGGAAAGGGACCGAGAAAGGGAGAGAGAAAGAGAAAGAGAACGAGAACGAGAACGCGAAAGGGATAGGGAACGTGATATGGAACACGAAGAGAAACTTTCCCCATTAGACGAAAGCGGATCTCAGTCTATCTCTAACGATTTTGGTGCTAGTGATATGAGCATACATAATAGTAATAATTTAATACCGACTTGTTCCTCTGTCAGTTTATCGAATCCATTATGTAATAGATTGTCGCCCTCTGTAAATTGCGAACCCATTCCCGGTCCCTCGAATTTGCCTCCAGTCCAACAAGTGCCTCTGGTAAGTGATTTGCTGCGTAGTGCCTCTAGTATGTAATTATAATCTTTCCTCTTCCAGAGTCTTAAGAAAGAAGTAGATTGGGGAGGAGGGGGAGGAGAAGAGAAAAAGCCGCCGATCGAGAGTCCTTCGGAATTTTCAAGGAACCAGCAAGATTCGGTAAGTCCCATAAAACTATACGCTATACCTATAAAAATATTGAGAGGATTTTAACACAACCTATCGACCGATTAAGATATGACCGTGTGCCGTCAAGAAGTTGACAATCATTTTGGCTATGCTGCAGTATATCCGAATCAAATCCCTTCCATAACCGGGAGCCTACGAAGCCTGCAAAAATAATTCTTTGGTGGCACACTTTCTGCTTCCCACAGCCAAACAAAAAAATGAACGTCAACTTCTTGTGACGGCCCACAGACACCCACCCCAACAGAGCCCTACCAAGAAGTTGATGTTCTTTTGTTTGGTTGCAGGAGCAAGAAGCGTTAGAAGGATCGCCCAGGATGTACCTGTGCATGTACTGCGGGAATTCCTTTCCTCACCAGAGTAAATTGACTAGACATATATTGAGCCATAGCTTGGAAACGTTAAAGTTTAGGGAACCGAGGCATCACATGAGTCCCCTGACAATACCCGAACCGTTAGGCTTTATGGATTTTAGCGGGAGATTGTCGTCGAATCCGCACGAACCGCCGGATCCCACGGATCAGCCGCCCACTCCGATGGACTTGGACATCAAGGAGGCCGCCGCGGCCGCTCTCGGTACCGCTTCCAGCGGCGTGGTACTATGCAAATTTTGCGGGAAATCCTTTCCAGACGTTAGTTCCCTTATTACTCACCTACCTGTTCACACCGGCGACCGGCCGTTCAAGTGCGAGTTTTGCGGTAAAGCATTTAAGCTCAGACACCACATGAAAGACCACTGTCGGGTGCATACTGGTGAAAGACCGTTTAGGTGTGGATTGTGCGGTAAAACGTTTTCAAGATCGACGATACTGAAAGCGCATGAAAAAACACATTATCCGAAATACGTTAGAAAGTTCCTCTCACCTAACCAGCTGGACACCGAAGAAGAAAGTCCTCATTAGAACTGGGTGATGTACCTAATTTGTTTTTTTTTACCTTATCACAACAACCTCGTAGAATTTGTGTTAATACGAAAAGATCTTCTTGTCGATCTTTAACTTTAGTATACAAAAGGATTCCTATTAAGATTGAATAATTTTAGGAACGAAACTTGGGCAAACCTCAAATAATCTGATGCTGATGGTGTTCGTACCTATTCTTGAAGTTATTTTTTCTTGTCCTTTTACTGAGTACCTATGAAAAATTAAGCAATATCTTTGTAATTACCGCGTTGATAAGAAGATCTTCTCATTCGTTTCGCGTCGAAGCAATCAGTGCATTGTTGCTCTGGTCAGATCCTCTGAAGGAACCACAATCTCACGACTTGTTACAAAACCCGCAAATCGCTTCCATGGAATTTTGTCTATTACGCTTGGCATTAGAAGCAATTTGTTTCAGCGCGACAATTCGGCAATGATTAGGCTCACCACCCTATTAATTAAACCAAAAATCGAATTACACGAGCACTCCTTTTAATACGGTAAAATTACTTGAAATAGTTGCATAAAAAAGAATTAGTATCTAAAGAAGTTCAGTAGTTGCTATAAGAAAAATTTCCTCGAATTTAGTGGGTATAGAAAAGTTACCTGCAGTTTATGATAAACGAAATTCTCTAAATTGAAGTCGAAATATTGTTGTTCCACAGCAGAATTATTATAAAAAATAGTAGTAAAATAAAATAAGAGCTATGTTATTTTGCGAGATGTGAGAGCTGTGATAGTATTATTACCTTTTTTATTTAAAACAGTACTTTACTAGTAAGTAGTTCTTAAATGGTGATTTATGATTTTTATTGTTACTCTCTTGTATTTCTTTTGACGAGAATGCGAGAATTTTCTGAGAAGTTTCGCAAGATTCGATATCTCACGAACAAATTCGGAACTTGCGTACTCATTTTTCTGAATTATTCGAGAATTTGTAACCGAATTTATAAACATATCATACCGGGCGTATTTTAAAAAGCGAATATCCCGAATAATAAGTTTTAAAAGAAAGAAAAATGTTGTCAAAACAAATACAAAAATCAGGAATTTCTGTCTATAGTCATTTGGCGAACTTCTGCTTAGTTGACATTCATTCCACTTGTATTAAAAACGTGACGAGAAATTAAATTAAATCGAAGCGATCAAGTAATTCAAATTATTTCAATTAAATAATAGATATAAAGTAATTTTTGCTTAATTAGATTAGATATTACCATTTTAAAATAATATAATTAAACTGATTGAGATTGAGTAATTGCTAATCCTATAAAATACTCGATAAAATTTGCGTATGATATTTTGCGGGTTTCGAAATACAAGCATTACAAATGAATTATTATCGCGCTAAAGATTTCTTTTACTAATTTTAATTCTCGTCGCGTTAAAGGATCTATTTCTGACAGGATAGTGTACCTTTGCAGTATTAGAGTGCAGGGATAGTGGTATGGATGATGTTATGTGTGTGGTAATAAAAACGTGTAAATTATTAACCAGATATTGCCGAATAAAATGATGTATTGTGACCACTGTTGCCACACCAAAAGGCGCTTTTTTGCGAATCGACGCTCTGTTTATATTCCTAACGAGTATCAAAGGAAATGCAGTCATAAATTTACAGAACAACATTGGATTAAACGCACATACATTCTTCTATTTGCCACAGTTTTCGTCAATTTTATTGAGGATTTATTTAAATTTCGAAAGCTCGTACAGACGTCGATTCTCAAAAGGCAGCCCAAATTATCCTGCAAAGTCGTATGTTCCTTTTTATGTTGTGTTTTTAGAGAAATTTACGTTATTTACCACAGGAAATATATAGCAATAATCATATACAAATAGTTTCATAGATATTAATATTTATATACATATTTGTATAATACGTTAAGAGGTACGTCAAAAAAATTACATAACAATTGCAAGCTGTGAGAGACCAGGTCTTCGCGAGATCATTTTTTTGATTTACAGGGAAATTAACGAATAATTAAATAAATAATTTCGTGCTGATCGTTACCTTTTTTAACTCGAATACCGCGGACTGCTTAAACATTTCACTACATTATTGCGATAGATCAACACACGAAGTGTAAATGGTGAGAATAATGATTCTAAATATTATCGAATCATGTATTGGCTGTGATTTACATGGATTGTTAAAGAAGGAAACGTAAAAATGATATTCTTTAGTATTACCTACCTGCTATTTTTTTGTAGATTTAACTGTGCAAAAGATTTATTACTTAACACAGAGGGAAAATTTTAATAGTAACACTGACAAGTGTATACGAAGAAGTCAAATAGATTTATTACCCACATGCTTTGGAATCATATACCGTTTGCTGTTTAAAGGGTAGATCTCGCCTGGTCATTCACATTATTATCAAGCACCTAGAGAAACGCCTTAGTCATAAGTTATGAACTTATTATTTTTGTTTCCTATTTAAGAGAGTATATTTATAATATTTTTAATAGAGAAATTTATATATTATTGTATACAAATTGGGGTGTTTTCATGGACAGATGCTAGTTTGCCTATGTCAGCTAACGAATTAGAAAATTGCCAACCAAGTTTCACAATCAAACGTACCATACTTAATTTCATGAGAAATTTACTACCCCGAGGTAATCAATTTTTCTTACAACATTTTCATAATGTTGTATATCGAATAAGTTTTTCCAATTTTCGGTTTATATAAATAACTACTATTCATATATGTCAACACATACATGGTATTTACATGGTAAATACGCCTTATTAATTAGCTCGCGTTTATTCAATACCTTTGTATTAAATAATTCTAATTCTCTCTACCTCAATTTCTACGAGAATTTGCTTGCATTCACTGAAATTCGTAATCTGGCAAGTTCAAACCACGATTGTGTGCATGAGGATATTCCAGTGCTGTACAAATCACGTAGTTAAGTAGAAATATTTATTATGACATCGTATTTAAACGGCAAGGTCTGTTCCGCGAAAATGAAAATAAAACTATATTGTAATTTACCAAAAACGAAGAGAAAAGTACCACAATGGAAGGATAATGTTTAGATTTTGCGATTGCTGGAACAGGCTGTCCTATTGACCTGGTTAGTGAAGATGTTCTTTAGTTCTTGAACGTATTTAATCTCTAAAATCCAAAGCAAGAGATAGATAGTTTTGATTTTTAGCCTTACAGTTTCCACGATATCAGAATCATTAACGGTCAAAGGGACACAGATGGAACAAGTACAGAGTATTCGATATTTTCACAAATTTAATTTAATTTTGGACACTCTGTAAATCCATCTCTTCTCTATCAAATCGAGTGCCTCTACTTAACAAATCCGTTTTATGCCAAGTTTTATACGTATGCGGGGTAACAATAATGTCCTATCGGAATAATATGAAAGGGGTTTAAAAAATTTAGCCGTTTGAAAATATTTGATTTAGTTAAAGTTGCTGTGATTACTTTTTATTTGTGAGAGAGAATCTTGTGTTTATTTTCTTAATTTAACTAAATTTATTGAGCCCTTTCAAGATTTGCTTTTTTTTTGAGAAAATGTACTTAATTTAATGTTTAAAAACGTAAAATAATTGGCAGTATAATTTTAACTTATTTTCTGGATTTTTGTATTAAGTAATGATATTGAGAAAAAGGACTGAAGAATTACATCAAGAAACGGGGAGGTTTCCAGAAAATATTTTTTTTGTTTAAATTTATTAAAATAAGTAAACAAATAAATACGTTAAAAATATTTTTTATTTTTATTTTTTTTTTATTGAAATCGGCGGAAATTCGATTTAAGCCGAGCGTACATAATCGAATGGGGAAAACGTTAATAGGAAAAATCACGTTCTAAATATCTAACATGTTCGTTTGCGTTTTTTATAGCGGATTGTTTCGAAGAACTTATCAAATATTTTAGCGGAGCTATGTCGACGTGAGTATTTTAGAACTTGCAAAACAAACAGATGGAAAAAAAATCTGTGACATTCTGTGATTGAAACATTCGTGAAATTCGTGATTTTTTTGAAATTTCGAAAATAATCTACGAAACTCCATAATAAAAGAAATGCAACGTTATGCGTTATTTGAATGTTTGATTTGTAAACGAGTTCGTAACATGCTATAATAAATCGATGTTCAAGAACATTAGACATCATTTTTTAATTTTTTTGTTAATATCGTTGGAATAAGTAGAGTTTACTTAGCAATTCTTTGACACCATTTTTACATGGTTGGAATATTTTAAGTGTCAAAATATTTCGACTACATTTAACAATTTGCTTTCGACACAACCTTGTAAAAAACTACACACACCCTATAAAAGACACGTAAACTGCTTGGAAAATATCTACAGGGTTTTCAAATGCTCTCCCTTGGTTAGATAAAAAAATTTGAACACTCTGTACAACAGGTAGACATTTTTTTGTATGTGGTAGCTCAGGGTCACTCACTTCCATGAAACAATAGTATTTAATAAATAAACTCGTTATACAAAAAAAGAACTGGATATCCTGATAGATGAGAATTTTGATGGATAAAATAAGGGATTCAAATGATGGAAAGTTATCGTGATTATTGGAATCGAGGTTATTCGATTATTGATCGGGAGAGTCTTTCATTTTAATAGTCAAAATTCTTGTCAATGCGGTGCTTTAGTTCCTCACAATTTTTTACGCAAATTTTTACACATACCCGTTGTTGAACATAAAAATACGCAATAGAACTGGACTAATTTTACATTTACACATTCTACGAAAATTCGAAGGGCCCGCCGCTCTTTTTATATTTGATAGAAGTTTAGATGAAAGCGCGAATCGCCTCAATATTTTTTACGTATTTTTCAAGCGAGAAAAATAACAAGTTGGGTCGTTCGAATTTTCTCCGATATACTCGTTGAGTGCCAACTACTACCAAAAAAAATAGAGACGTTCATTTTTAGGAATCTACAGTTAGAGTTTCTCAAATTCGGCTGCAACCGAATTAGAAAAACGCGCTGAAATTTAGAATCACAATCGCTGAAACAATACGATTATTTCTGACAAAGTTGCAGCCGAAAATGCATATTTTTCCGAAACACAAATGAAAATCGTTGAGGTAGAACCAAAAAGTGAGCAAAAAATTTGGTAAAAGTATTTTCTGCAAAGTGATTATAAATTAAGTTTTAGAAAAAACCAACCTTGGCAATGTATTAAATTAGTCTACTTAATTGTAACGACTGGAATATTATACATCTATGAAATATACCGGTAATAGATTAGTTTAATTTTTTTATTCATAACAACCTCACCAAAATGGTAGTGCAAATAATAGTCAACAAGGAAGAAGTAAGCAGATAACACCTTCTTGAAACTGTGAAAGAAAAGAATCCACAAAAAAACCGTTTAATCTCTGGTTATCTTCTTGTTCTAGAGTTCAATGGAAACCGACCGATGCGTCGGTTCTCCCGTCCCCGACCGTCCTTCCAGCACGCAAAGCAGCAGATCCTCCACACCTTTCGCTCTGCCCTTTCCCACTCTGCCCACCTCGCTTCTGGAGGTCGGCTTGATGCCGAGCGCCTTCTTGGGCGACGAAATGTTCCGGTGCTCCTCCTGCATGGCCGCCTTTCCTTCGCTGTGGCTGCTGGAGCAGCACACGGCCCTCCAGCACATCGGATCCATCAATTCGCTGGAGAAGCCCTTCGTTTGCGAGCAGTGCGGCCAAAGCTACAGGTATTCATTCACTCTGCTTAATTAAGGATTGTTTAATTAATGAGATACTAACGATAAATGAAAGTGAAGATACGCTCGTAATTGGCTCGTAAAAATGTTTTCTCGCATCTAATAAAGCAGTTAATAACAGTAGGTATAATAATCTCGGCTCTTCAAAGGAAAGCAATTAACATCAAATAACTGGTAATTAAATGCACATGCTATGAGGAAGCCGAGCGAAAAATATACTCGCTGATATAACTGCAAGAAGTATACGTTCGTAAATTCATAATATAAGAGGTAGTTATTAAGAGACGGTGGGTAGTAAAAAGCCGTAAACTATTTTCGTAGGTACAGATCGGCGTACGTAAAACACCGCGAGCAAAACCACAGGGCCCGACTGCCGGCCGACAAGCTCTTCTCCTGCGACGTGTGCGGCATGCAGTTCCGCTATCTCAAATCGTTCAAGAAACACCGGCTGAACCACGCTTTGGAAAAATTGCACGGCAAAAGCGCCGAGGTAATTAGACCGTTTGCTTCCTCAAGCCTCCGACGTCAGCCATAATAAAGGATAATCTCTTGTAGGTTGCCAAAGATTCGAAAGCAACTACCGATGAAGAAGTCGACGACGATAAAAACATGCACGAGAACAGCAACGATCAAGTGTCGAGTTCCAACGAAACTATAAATGTCGAGGAAGAAAATAGTCCTATAGTGGTTAAAAAGGAAGTGTCCGATGATATTGCAGGTAAACAAACACCTCTTCTTCGTATATCGTTGGTTGACAAATGGTTGGTTTGCAGGAGAAGGTACATCTTCGGATGCCGAGAAGACCGAAGCCGAGCAAGACGACACCATCGATTCGATTGCTTTCTCATACCAAGGCACCTCGGGCTGTCCCAGCGATTTGCTGCGCACTTCCGAATCTTCGATCATCAACTTCCTGCGGGCCGATTCGGCTGGGCAACGCGAGCGCCGCTTCGCCTGTCCGTTCTGCGGTAAGTGCGTCAGGAGCAAGGAGAACCTGAAGCTGCACGTGAGGAAGCACACCGGAGAGCGGCCGTTCGTTTGCTTGTTCTGCGGCAGGGCCTTCGGGGGGAAGAGCGACCTCACCCGCCACCTTAGAATCCACACCGGGGAGAGGCCGTACCACTGTGATATGTGTGGGAAATGCTTCGCTAGGGCCGATTATTTGTCGAAGCATTTGACCACTCACATTAATACACCTCGTTGAATTTTCAGTGATTTTTTTTGTTATTGTTTTTATTTTGGTAGATTTAACGTTTTAAGGTTTGTTTGATGGGGAGTTCACAAACCAAATACCTTTTCCAATATTTCAGAAAAATTAGATGTAGGTTAGCAAATAGAAAGCAACAAAGAAGATGCAAGAAGAGTAAAAATGAAGAAGAATTTGTATAAATAAAAAAGTTTTATTTCTATAAAATCTTCTCTGAATAGGAAGTTGGAAAAATTTCATTTGTGAACTTGTACGTTTAATTAAAAGGCTACATTTAAAAAATCTTAATGGATAGAATATCTCTATACACCACTACCAGAATTTTCTGCAGGTTTAATTAGAGTTGTTCTATCCATTTTTTTACAAAGTGCCCATTTTTCTTTTGTTGTTATTTTTCATAGAATAGTTAAATAGTTAAAAAAGAATAATTTAGACATCACATCCAAATTTTACTGCTTCTAAACGAAACTGATATATTTTTTGCGAAACGAAAGGTCCAGTTAATTACGTTCTAGAGGTCTGAATTGATTTGATTGTTCGTATCAGGATTTATCTCTAGATTTTTTTAACTATCCGGTTTTGATTTTTGCGCATACCGTCCACATACAGGGTATCTCAACTCCAGGCAACGATAATATAATTCATCCAGAATCCGGACAGAGACACAGTCAACGACGAGATACCCTGTATACATCGAGACTTATTTCAACTTTATTTGGCTGTGATTAACTTTTAGGTTTTTCGTGATACATCGCGTATTATTATTATTTATAATTTTAAGAAAAGTTACCTAAGCAATACAATTAAATAAGGCTCTAGTCAGAAAATCACGTCTAAAATTTGAATCCCCCTCAACCCTCGCGCATGAGGTAATAACCACTCATCCAAAGATTTGTATTAAGGGGAAAAAGCATTAGAATAAGGACTATATATTTAATATAACTTGTGCCAAAAATTGATGTACAATGTACCTCATTTATAAACTACATAGTGTAGGTTCAGTTAGGCACTGGTACAGTTCAAGTATATTTATTTCTTATACCGTTTGTAGTACTACCCACTTCATTAAAGAAAGTGTTTCTGATATTTTTAATTAGTAATTAATCAGAGTTTGAGTTTGAGTTTATTTTAATTGGGCCATAAATACAGCGATTTAAAACTGGTGTATTGGAACTGTATCGGTGCATTTTAAATGTAATAAGATTTGCGAATTTAAATGTTTAACATCGAATATCCTGCCTCATTAATTACAAACAAACAATATTTTTCTATAAATGTACAAAATACGTCCAAATAAACAATTGTTAAATCATTTTTTATAAAACTTTGTTGCTCAATAGAATAAACAAGATGATATATAAACTTTTATTATACACAGTAAACGCTGATGTTAAACATTTATTATTTTTTTAAATCACATGTTATTTTTAAATATTTCTAGGGGCGTTATATCCGAACAATATTAGAGTTTGTTTAGAGACTGTCAGATGAAGAAAAGGATTTAAAATATGAATATTAACAGCAGTAGTTGAGTTCTCAAAGGAACTTGACCTTTAATTCTAATAGTTGAGATGACTAAGTGTCTTTTTCCAGAAACGAAATTCCGAATGAATTTATAGGATTAATTTACAGGAATACAATTAATTTTTATAAAATAAACCAATCGTGTCAAGGATGCTCAGTCATTTCCATAAAACAATTAACATTTAACCTATATGTGTGATATTGAAAAAAGGCTTTTGGACAAATTTTAACCAATAGTTTTTTCTATAGCATTTGTGCCTTTGTATAAAGAATGTTTTCGTCTTTGTTGTATTATTAAATACAGAAGATGCAATAGATAATTTTTACAATACGAAATAAATTTTTATTTTTACAGGACAATTTTTAATTAAATTTTTACAAATTTTAAAATAGATAATATAATTCAAACGAATATGGATCTCATTATATTGATTCCCCAATAAAGAAGGAATCACCTAATCTTAAATACATACACTATAGAAATATCCAAATATCTAAATTTTTAACTGGATTTATTTTATAATGAACACGTTTTGTTAATTTTTTAGGTGTAGAGAACGCCATTCCAAGCCGCCCAATTCTAATTACATTATGTTCCTAGAGTTATTTTTGTCTATTTAATCACTTTAACATCCAAACAACATTACATTAATACATATTTTTATGGAATTTTTATGGAAGAACCATTAGATCATTTTTTGTAATTTGAGATGTAATCAGCTTGATTTCATCTCTTCAGCCCTTAATTAAACCCCCATCGTTCGTTCATATGACAAAATATCATTAGCCTAATTGAAAATAGGGCTAAAAATCCATCCAAAACTAAGGCATTGTATAATTTAGAAAAACATTATTGACACATAATTATTATCTTAGATAAATTAAGAAATATTAAAAAAATCATCTTGACTTACCAATACTTTGAATGGCCATTAATTGACTTAATTGACATTTAAGTTTGATTTAAATTGTTTCCGATATAGAAGGTACTCTTTATACCTAAATAAATCTAACAATTAAAGCAGCGTTTTAACAACAGCGATTGTCCTTAAGCACAAAATCCTTCCATAATTAAAAAAAGAAGTAATTAATCGGTGTGTTTTGCTATTTGCCTTGTATATAATATAATAAAAATATTAAGAATAAATGTTCCTAAAGAAACAAAAATTGAAATAGTTGAAGAATATTTTTGTGTATGTAAATATTATGAATTTGTCGCCAGAAGGAATTTTTTTGTTAAAATCATCTTTTTAGGAGGGGCATAGACTTATACATAAACGTGCTTATGTGTTGTTTATCTCGATGTTAACTTGTATAGTATGTGTTAGCGATGGAAAATATTGTTGTCCAATTTTATTATAAAAATAATTAGGGAAGACAATGGACAAGATATAAAGCTGATTTAAAAAACGTAATAACTGTTTTCTAGTGTAATTTACACATTATTCTTAGATATTAATTGAAAAACGAATATAATTGGGCATTGTTTCGTTTTTTTAAGAAATTGAGTGTTAGATTTTCCATAACTGTGTAACAAGCGTTCGTTAATTATATTTAAATCAGTTTATATTTTGTTTGTATTCAAAGTGTAATTGGTATAAGCACTGGTCTCTTCCAATTAAAGCAACGAAATATTTTAACGATTATTAGCGGCCTATATACTCGTCTATAACAATGTTTTTTTATGAGACCAGTCATATTTTGAGATTGGGTACTAAGCCTCAGAAGTCAAAATATGTTAATTTCATTGAAATTTCAATATAAAGACTTACCTGAAATTAGTTATTTTGGTATTTTAGGCTTAACATCTTCTGATTGCGTGCTTTAAGATGGTGATATAGAATTGAAGTTTGAAGGGTTTGCTCAGATTTTCAAAGCAAATATGGTGCTGTAACATTGTGAAAGAAATTGTGATATAGAAATGTTGATATGTAGGGTTATTATGATATTTAATTAAGTATATAATTAATTATATATTTATATTAGTAGTGGTATGAGTTGATTCAAGAAAGCAGAGGATTCTTTGGGGAAAAGTTAATTTATTTTAATTTAAAAAATTAAGCACTTTAATAATTTTTATTTTGTCTCTTTTGTTACCTCAAAATGAAGTTCAAATTTCAAAAAAAACATCAACAATTTTTAATAGTTGTAGTTCTATTGAATGTTCCTATAGCGTTGCACTCAGATTAAAATATTCAGTGTCCCACGATTGAAGAGTAAAACATCAACAATACAAACGAATGATTGTTGATGAATTACTCGCATTAATTATTTTTAATTGTGATAGAATTTTAGGAATTGAGGAAGGATTTATTTTTGCATCAACTCAAAAACAACATAAATGAGTGGATATAGTTTGTTCCAAATGCGCTAAACAAGTTTCATTAAACCATTTTGTGTCATATTCCGAATGAAATATTTTTACGGAATACATTTTAATTTGAACACCCTGTATCCATAAAAATTTGCACCTAGTCTTCGATATTTGCACAAAAAGATAATTCAGGAAGCTCTATTCAAATTTTGTATTCAATGTAAATTAAATTAAAAATATTAAACATAAATAAGTAAAAGTAACATTTTTTCAGTATAAAAGTCGGCGAAAAACTCGTATTCCTGAATTTTCTCTTATTGAAAATATTATATTAAACAAAATTGTGTACTGTGTTCTCGTTCTTACAGTATGATATTGACAAATGTTTATATATGTGTAAAAATTTTTGATGTTGTGTACCATAAAAGTTCATAAAAGTGTCATTTCAAAAGTATGAACGTAAATAAAGATTTTATTAATGTGAAATTTGTTTAATATATACAAACGTTAATTCAACACCTAGTTAACAAATAAATTAGATTTCATAAGCAATATATTTAATTGTTTAATTAACAGCAAAATTGAAATATTTTTGAGAAAATATAATAACAGGAACCAATAACACTAAATTGTTTTTCAAATAAGTCGACGATGATTTTTGATTCGAGTTTGTAGGTTTATTTGAATTATTGGCAGTAGGGATGTTCATATAAACTGATCTGTCGTTAGCCGCTTGAACTGGTCTAAAGTTGTGATTAAGCTTTCCATCAGAACCCGAAAGCAACCGAAACTCTTGAATCTGCAAAAAAATACACATACAAAATTACTCTTTCATTTCATTCATGCAAAGTTCATAAGTATCCTCGATGCATTACAATTTATCCTTAGGATTATTAATACCTACATGTAATTAATAACACTAATTAATCAAGACTTCCAGCTGTAATTCATTTGAGCCTAATCATCAGCACGCATGAATCCTTTCATTATTTCATTCTATGAATAATCAATGTGGATTTTAGTTCGATAGTTGATTAATTATGATTAAAAATGCAACTCATAACTCACTTGATCATGTGATAGCGGTATCGTATTGATAAATTCGATCCACGTAACTACTTCGGAACAAGGCGGAGTGGTTAGGGATCCTCTGTATGTGACGTATTCGCTCCGGTCTGTTGTAGTGAAATTGTCCAAGGAAACGAATCCGACAATATCGACGGAGGCGTTGAAATTTTCCACTGCGGGAAGCCCCGACTCGAATTTTTGGTAGCTGGGGTTCTCTTTTATAGTTCTCTAAAAACAAACCGATTAGCGTAATTATTTTAATCGGTTTGATTTTATCGAATTGTTTGGTGGTTTTTTAATCGGTAAACAATTTTTTTATAAATAACGTATACTCACATGAAACAAGAACGATAATACGACTAATCCATCATCATGGTTGAGCGCATTACTAAAATTTCCGTAGTCCGTATTAAATAATACCATGTGTAATTCCAACGGAAAACTACAATAAAAATTATTTATGAAGCCAATTTTTGACTTTAATGTTTGTAAAACGGAAAACTTGTTACATGTTATGAACCAAAAAACCTAATGTTCAGATTTAATGTACATAACTCTAAACAAAAATTGCACGAATATAACGAAACAAATAATATTTACACAATGCTACTAAAGTATAAATATTACTAAATACCTTTGGTTGTTAATCAAGTTTTCAGAACCTTCATCGTCGTTTCTGCCCCAATGGAAATGCAGTTGAGTAAAATTGTAAGTTGCATTCAGAGGTCCACCGCGTATGTTGGGCAAATTTCCGATTTTTATGGACAAGAGAGCTGAAAATTATTAAATTTACATAATTATGTATAGTTATTCCGGATTAAAATCTTGGCGTTAATTAAATGTATGCTAATTATAGAAACATGTCATTAATTTTACGTAACCATTCGCTTATTTTACTAATTTTCTAGTTAATTTAAGAGAGAGAAACGAATGAGTATATAGAATATTATTTACAGCATAAAAACAATTATTTTTGCTAAATTGTAGTAAAATAGTTGCATAATATTGCAAAGAATGTGGCAAAGAATTAATGAAGAACAATAGAATATTTTCTCACATAGAGTGGAATCTTTTAAAATCTGGCTTAGATATCTTAGATACAATAAACGTTCTTTTATTAGGTTTCCTAATTAACCAAAAATTGTTCCACAATCGAAATAATTTGCAATAATATAATTATGTTTAATTAGCAAAAACTTGAGAGATGTAAATTACCTGCAAAACCTAATTAACTTACTAATTAATAAGAAGATATTTTAATCGAATTACTGCATTTTTTACGTACCAGTGTGTCCATTATTCTCTAATCTAACAGTTTCTAATGGTTTATCGAAGTGCTCGAAAATAAGCGGAGGAAATTCTTTTCTTATAACGTTATTTAATTGGATGTCTATTGGACTCTGCAGCTTGCCCCCGTTGCATCCTCTGTAATTTAAACCCCAAAAATCCGGTCCTGAAATTTAAAGAAATTACCACACGAATAATAGACAATAAATTATGTTTTAATTATTAAATTAAGGCATCAGTGTCATATTTCTGTGTATTTGCAAAGGTAATTAAACAAGTCTACTATTTTATTTGGCGTTCTACTTACCAGACTTTCCGTCATAGCCGAAATCCTGACCATGACCTGCAAAATAAATATTTACTAATGTAAAAAGTAAGTTGTGGTTCCTAGACCAAGTCAAGTTCATTTGCTGCAATTATGAAGTATTTATATAAATATACCTATTTACTTATTTGTGTAATATTAATACTCAAATTGGATGTTTTATAAGAATATATAGTTAGATCAACAAAATATGAAGGCTGTGAAAGGATTTCTAATTTCTTTAATAATGCTCTTATTAGGACATTTCAGGACATTATTAGAAAATTTTTCAGTGTTATCTACAATTCATAAGTTTTAATAGTATTTAAGTACTTGCAAAATCCAATTGATTCCGGATACATAATCCGGATGCGGTAAAAAATAACGAGTGTAGAAACTGGGAAATTTCTACTATAGCTACTCCTTTTAATTCTTAGTACTATTGGTACAGTATTGAACTTACAAATGGACTAACATGACTCCGACAGTAAATAACATACGTCAGTTAATTAGTCAATATTGCAAAGAAGTTTTGATTAAACAACTATCGTTAGTTTCCTGATAATACAAAAGTCTACATCTTTCACAAGTATCTGGTAAAAGAGTTTGCTAATAAAGATCTTACACTTACGCTAATCATATTTGCAGATGGCAGCTATCATACAATTGACGTAAAATTGCTAATGAATGTTTAATATCAAATGTAACATTGTTACGATGATTGGAAAATTTATGAAGAGTATTTATTTTCATTACATTTGAATACTTACCTAGTATATCATTAGGTGATCAGTAAAACTTTATCCAAAAAAATGTTATAATAGCAGATAAAAATGTAGACGAGGGAATTAATTTCTTTGAATACCAAAAATATTTTAAAAAATTGCTCATTACTCACCACAACAAATAAATAACAAAATGAGACAAACAATTCTGGCTATACTGGATGCCATCACTGGAAACACTAATCAAACAACACTTAAAAAGGAACAACAGATATTAGTTCATACTAAATAATTTTTGAATATTTTAAAAATAAAATTCCTAACGAAACGATTTTTAACGAAACGAGCGCATTGGACGCAACGACGCGGAGCACCGGACAAGCTATCGATGAATAATCTCCAGAATTCAATATTTGCGTGTGTTATGTAGACACCTACTCCTATGACTACAGAATATGAGCGATGAACCTGTATATTTTTTAAGCTTTCACATACATATGTATAACCGTCTTTGTTAACTTTATATTGTGTATAAGTATGCTTAGAAAACACTTCAACAATATTTTGTCATTGCTGTAAGGTGTACAGTGAGATACAAATAGCTGAAGACATGAGAGTACAAGTCGTAAAGGTTTATAAGTACTTATGACTAAGCTACTTCTGTCGCAGTGTACCTATAGCAAAAGTTCTAGAAACAATATTCATGTTAGTACTGAAGAAAATCAGAAGAATAATATAGGTATGTATTAATTATTCTTTTGCAAAAAAATCTTTAAAAATATTTTTATAGGATCCGATTTGCAAAAAATACCAATGAATTGAATAATAAAAGAAATTAAAAATATTCAATTGCTTAATCCAGAAAAACAGGTTTGGAATATTTCGCTAACAAATGAAATTCATGTTTAATTGTTGATTTGGGATTTTTGGGTAGGGTATTTTTATTTACGAACTAAATGAAGTCATAAATAAAGTATATTCTTATTTTTCAATCAAATGATTATTAGTTATGTATAATTTGTATTAATTTACATCTAATTATACATACAGACATACATATGTATGTATGTAGATTTAATACATAGAAGAAAGAAGTTTAAAGGCTTTTAATCTTTTAGTTACAGTCCTTTATGTTTGACCTTAAAATATTTTTAGATTTAAAAAAATGAGTCAAATATAGGTAAAACACAGAAACAAATATGATTAACGAGGAGCTTTTATCCATTTATTGTTTATTGATGGTTCTGGGGATGACTTTATTGACATTTAGAAATTGTTCCATTGATTTGGTGATAAATGAATAAAAAATTACAGCTCACAATATGACATACCTAACTACATCACGCAAGCTTTGTTTCACATAAAAATACAATTGCATAAGACGGATTAAATTGATCAAAATTGGATAATTTAAAATATACATGATCTGAAAATCACGACGTAACGTAAGAGTAGTTTTTATGAAAATTAGCTTGTTATTACTACCTACATAAGTCTTTGAAATAATTCTTGATTATCAAACAAAGATTTTCACTACTAATCAAAAGGTGGGAAATTAGTCCATATTTATAAAAATGAAGTATTTACTTTAAAGTAAAAGGTAGAAGGAAAGATAAGTTTAAGGTTAAGGTTTAAGGTACCTTAAAGAAAGGTTTTAAAACCATAAAACCTTTTGCTTTAATGCAATAGCAGGGCACTCGAAGCAAAACCTCTCTTCCTTCTATTTTTTATGCACCTTGTATTGTTTTAAAAATTAGGTGATATAAACAAGTAAAAAGAGTATTTTAAAAGTTACATAAAATATAGTAATATTCATGCAAGTCTAATGTATTTTTAATACAACTGAAATCAGCTTAATTCCAACTACATATTTATACAAGGTGTATCTAAATTATCTAAATAACACAAAAAAATTAAGCGGTGAATCTGTAATAAAAATATTATGATGGCTGTTCAATAAAATGCCATTTAACATATGAGCTTTTACAATACATTTATATTTTTTCTTGTAAATGTCTAAGTTTTTAAAAAAACTTGTAGAGATAAAGAAGTTGTAAAGTAAATGAATTAGGCTTTTCAGCCATATTTTTTTAAAAGAAAAGTTTCTATCAAAAAAAGTTATGAGAAAAAATGTCTTCAAAAAATTTCAATGACAAATAATATTACCCAAGTTTGGTGTCTTTTGCTTAATATTACAAGGAAAATAAAGAAGAAAAAACTTTTTTTTTAATCTTCGGAAGGGTTTCACTTTTCCGGGTAGGGCTTTTTCAAAAAAAATATACCAAGTACTTAACATAGTAATTATTTCTATCACAGTATCACCCCTTAAATTTTTTCGGTGTTATTTAGATACATCCTACATCGTTTGCTCCATTTCCGATTGCAACATGGTCATTTCTATGAGTGGAACAAAGAAAGATTAATAAAATAACAGTTGTCAGAGTGAAAAGTTGCAATGACACAAATGTCATTCTTTCCTTTCCCTTTATAATTGTCTAATGGAAGTTGTCTTTATCGCACCTATGGCCTATATAATCTATGTTGTGATCAAAAATGGAGCAACCTGTATATTTATTTATACACAAGATTTTGAACGAAAATAAACGTAATTTTCTTATTTTTTTGTTAACGTTCAATAAAACGATTAAAAACGTATTTGTGTGATAAATTATTCCCAATAAATACCCTGTGTAAATACCTACACATATTAAAAACATGTCATTTTACGTGGCTCCTTATAAGGAAAAATCATTAAGAAATTGTATGTTACATCCTTTATTGATTATCCTGTATATATTTAGTCAAAAAAATTGTGATTCGGTTGCTCTAATTTTTTTTTTATATTCATGTTTGCAAATCCTTGGAAAATGTCCTTGTTTAAATAACATTTGTAGTACCTACATATCTACAGAGTGCATCAATCTCGATTTTTATTGTTGTATCTGTATATTTACAAGTAAAACTACAATTAAATCGTGCAAATACGGTTAAAAAAACAGTTAATTATTTTTTATTTGGTGTCACGGCTGTGAAAGGGAACTCGTATATTATTTATAATGGGTTAATGTAATGAGTGTTGCGTAAGTACCTGAAGAAGGAGTGTTATTTATTTGAAATTATATTAAATGTTATTGTAGACATAATATATTATACAATATATTTTGGTTAATTAGAAGTATGTTTTTTAATTAAATATAAGATTTTTATACAAAAATTCTCAAAATATTTTCAAAATCATCTTCTTTTTGTACTTCCGAACGTTGACTTTTGACAGCGATGACAGTGACGTTTCTGATTTGACGCAACGACAAAGAAATTCAAAAGTTAGGTTAGATCTTTATTTAGGTCAAAAAAGTTGAATTATATCTAGAATTGCAAGAAATTCATTAAAAAAGATGACACATTCGTAAACAGCAGGTACAATTCCTTGGCGTAAAGTGTGGATAATTAAAAGTATGTTTTTAAATAATGGTTTCTACAGTTCTATTTATAAAACTTAGCCAGCTCTAATACCTGATAGATGTGAATAATATCACTTCAGCTGAAAATAGGACCATGGAAAAGGAAAAAGATGAAAAGAAACTGTCTTGGTCTGAACTCAAGGGGGTCGTCAGCGATCTCAGAAGACAATTATCTAGTCTGTCCACTATGGTACCCACATCGATAACATTTAGGACTCTCCCCGATGGCCGAACGAGGATATATTTTTTAAGTACCCCGCAAAACGGCTGGGAGACCACTTTGCTCTTCGCCGACGTACCTAACACCAATCAACCAACGAGTTTAAGGCTGCCGTGGCAATGTGTTATAGAAAGCAATTTTCCTAGTATATCATCTTCGAATAAGTTTTCCAGAGAAGAACAATTGCTGTGGGAGAGAAAAAGAATGACCACGTGGGGTATTAATTCGTACGAAATTCACAGTGAATCCGGGAAAATAGTCTTTCCGGCCGCTAGTAGCTTATTTCAGTGTTTAGATAGTGGGTTTTCGGTAAGTGGAAATTTCGCAATTATTTTTTTCTAAAAACAGCAGGTAGATTTATTTTTTGCTTTTTTAATATCGAATTTTGGCAATAATATGTTGAAATGTTGATAACACATTTGGTTGAATTAATATGTAGACATGATTAAACAAATTTGTTTTGGTCAACAACAACAAAAATCAAATTAAATACATTAACGATAAATTTATTTATTTAAATATTGATATAGAAGATCAATGACCTATGTCGTTAATTTGTTGCAATTAATTTATTAGTTTTTTAATATATTAAAAAAATAGTTTTCATTAATTAGAGAGAAATTTGATAAATATTCCCATAAAGCAAATTTTACACCAATATACAATGTATCCCACTTAAGAACCAAGCAGGGGCATGTATGGAAGTGCAAAATATATATGCTGTTTAACCCAACATAACATAATACAAAGTTACATTCCTAAGTAGTTATAGACCTTCAAAGTGGAGTTAAAAATTAAAAAAAATAATATCTGTCAAAATTAAAAAAAACTTTGTTTAAAAAAGTTTGCTATACATTACAAGTGTACTAAAAGAGCATCAATCGATACTTGGGAATTACAGAAACAGGAATGTTACAGAATTTTTTTACCTGATGGATGATTTATAAAATTGATTAGTTAATATCACAGGTAATTTTATATTACAACTTTTTTACTCTTATTGTTTTTTAAAATTCTTTGTCGTTTTGATGAAAAACGCTAAAAAATAAAGTCATGTACACTATCAATGTTACTTAAAATCTTTGATAATTTCAATGTTGGCTGTAATTAAGTCAAAGTTGGGTTAAACAACATATTGTAGGCCCCCTACACGTCCCCGCTATGTCGGTTATTATTCGGGACACCCTGTATATACTAAAAATTGTACAGTATCGTTGATTAATGAATTATCTTTCGAATTAATGAATTGTTAATGAATAATTTAATTCTACAAAACCAATTACTTATGATATTTAATTAAAACGTTAATAATTTTATTAGAATGGCCAATTATTTCCAACAAAACTTCGCATGACATCCTCAGGGGCGAAAATAAACTCGCAAATATGTCCTGCGAATCCCGATTTAGTGGCTTACATTTGCAATCACGACATTTGGGTGACGCACACGCTTTCCGGATCGAATGTGAGGCTCACGTTCGCCCATAAAGGCGGTAGAAACTTAGCGGATGATCCATTATATGCAGGCGTACCATCTTACGTTATGCAAGAAGAATTTTCAAGATATCAGGGATATTGGTGGCAACCTAATAGTATTGGTTAGTGTAATTTACACAGTGACAAAAAAGTAGCCGGAAAATTGGAATAAACCGCAAAATTCCTAATCTTCTTTAGTTTTTCTTGAATCTCTTTCAAAATATGCTTCTTCTGAAGCGATGCACACAGTCAGACGCATTTTAAAATCATCGAAACACTTATAGGCCTTTTTTGGTAGGGCTTTTAGCTGATTATTTGAGCAAAATCAAACCAGCAGTTTAACGGATGATGTGAAGGTCCCGTGCTACTTCTCTAATACTAGCATGATGATATTCAAACTCAATTTCTTTCATTTTCTCGCCGTTATCATTGGTTGAAGGGGTCGAAGTCGGATGCTTCGATTATTAGGGCAAGTCTTTAGCGATCTCCCGACTGCCTACTAATTTTGTACCATTAGTAAATGTGGGTTTTTGATAAAACAGAGTCACCTTAAGCATTTGCATTAATTCGGCCAACAGAATTCCATTCAAAACCCAAAATATGAGACTCTTTGTTCATTATTTTTGTCCATTGCAAAATTTGCAGAGCAATACTGACATGAATTGATTCAATCAGCTGCTAAAACAAAACTGTTTGAGAAATCTCTCTAATTTATTGCATGCTAATTAAGAACAGTGTTACCTACATACAGAAACAGTTAAAAAAATGTGAAATTGAAATAGTTGAAAATATTAAATGCTCTTAATTTAAATCAGATTTTCCGGGTACTTTTTTGTCATAGAAATAAAATCTCATTGTTAAAAATACTCTGCATGTTATTCACAGGAGGTGTGTATAGGATTCTTTACGAGGAAGTTGATGAGGGTGATGTGAGAGTGTTCTGCTTTCCATCGTCACAGTCGGATTCTGGCGAAGTTGAAGAATTCAGATTTCCTAGAGCGGGCTGTGCCAATTCTAAGTCATATTTGAAGATGATTGAATTTAAAGTAAACGAACATCTTCAAATTGTCGATGTTTGTATGTTAGAATTGCAATTTTCTCTATCCCTGCTGTTTCCTTGGATGGAATATGTCGTTCGAGCTGGATGGACGCCTAACTCAGAATAGTAAGTTCGTAACTTAGAGTTTACTTTTAGGAATTTATTTATTTTTTCTATTTTCAGCATTTGGGTTCAGTTATTAGATAGGCGACAGCAAAGATTAGAATTAGTTTTATTATCTCTTAGCAATTTTACTGAAGTTCTTCCATTATACGATGATTCGACGATAATTCATCACAACAGCCCAATAGTTCAAGTAATTTATTCCCAAGAATCCAATATTTGGGTTAACGTAAACGATTTGCTACATTTCTTGACGTCATCAGACAATAATGAGGTAAATATATTCGTTTATTTATCCTTCCAACTGAAATAGTTGCAACGTTGCCGGGTTGTAATTGTCGAGAACCAGTTAGAACGCTCCAGAATCATTTAGAACGCTCCAGAAAAAAACCAAAGTCGCTGGGAAAGTCACAAAAACAACAAATTGTAGTAAAAACGTGTCAACTACAAACAGCGGAATTTTGAAAAAAACGATTTGGCAACAACGTATCGGAAATTCAACCGCGCTAGGTAAAATTCCCCTCGTCAAATGGCAGAATTAACATTGGTACTAGGGAAATTTTGAACTACGTGGATATTACTAAACGTGAAGTCATTGTCATTTTACAAGTACGAAGTTTATGACCTTATTTTTTAGCGTTTTTCATCAAAACGACAAAGAATTAAAAAAATGAAACAATAAAAAGGTTTTAAAATTAAATTACCTATGAAATGAACTAATAAATTTTTAAATCGTCTATCGTAAAAAGATTCTGTAACATTTTAAGGGTGCATCATCCCTGATGAACCCTTTGAAATACATCAATTGATCTCTCCTAACTATCAATTAATGCTCTTAGTACACTCATAAATTATACCAAATTTAGTTGTTTTAAGTTTACTGAGTATTACTGAGATTTTTTTTATTAGTAACTTCAGTTTGAAGGCCTATAACTTCTCAGGAATGCACCTTTGTATTAAATTAACTTGGATTAAACATATTTTAATCTCCCCTTACCCGCCTTGTTCTGTGTCTGATTTTACGAAGGACACTGCATATTTCTAATGCATTATTTTCAGGTACAATTCATTTGGGCCTCAGAAGAGAGCGGCTTCCGCCATCTGTACTTGATCTCAGCACAAATCATGCCTTACACGAACGGCATATCGGAATCAACCGAAACGATGGATTACGTTTTTTTGCAACCGAAAATCGCTTCTAAAGTAGCCCTGACCCAAGGCGATTGGGAAGTATTGGGCCAAAATTTGTGGGTAGATAACGAACGGCAATTGGTTTATTTCATGGGTTTAAAAGAGACCCCGTTAGAGAAACACCTGTACGTGGTGTCTTTGAGGCGACCGGGCGAAGTCAGATTATTAACGCGACCCGGTTTTTCGTATTTCGTCGATTTCAACAAAGTGAGTAGGAATTTTATATGTGTTTACAAACTTTAAATAAATTTCTGATCTATCCAGGACTGTTCGATGATCGTCACAGTGTATAGTAACATCCAGAAACCACCTGCTTGTCAAGTATTCCGAATAACACACACCGATTGGACTGTGGAAGGTGTCACGTTGACTCCATTGGGATATTTGATGGAATCCATGCCGCTCGTCAACGATAGCTACTCGCCTGAATTGTACACACACGAGATAAGTTCAGGCCATGTGCTCTATGCAATGGTTTTTAAACCGCACAATTTCGAATGCGGAAAGAAATACCCCACCGTTTTAAACGTGTACGGTGGTCCTGAAGTTCAATTGGTGTCCAATACATTCAAAGTAATGCCACTTTAATGTCCGGTTTCACCGAAGGCAAATAAGACCTTATTCGATGAATAAATTTAACTGTCCAATAAAAATACACAATTTTGTTTCGCCAACAAAAAATAGCGTTATTCGACGAATAAATTGGCGTTATTAATTAACGAAATTTGGACAGTTAAAGTTTTATTTGATGTTTTTTAACCTTAAATAATATTAATTTGTAATATCTGTTAAGTGTTTTTCTGATTGCGGATTTTTATTTAAATTTATTGGTTATATTTTTAGTTTGTTTGAGAATAATGGATAACAGATAACACAAATATTATGTACTTTTTAAGTTATTTCAAAATTATTTATCTATTAAATTTTTAGCATCATCTTCATCATCATCTTCAACATCATCTGATGAAGATTTTCATTATAGACGAGCTCGAATTGTTTTAGAAAGAAGGATCGTTATTAAATTTTCCTTCTCTTCCAAATAATTTTGCTTCTTTCCCTTTTTCGATCCATTTCAAAATCACTTACTCTCAAACTCAAACTCCAAATATAATAAAATAACAATATTCACACGTCACAGTAACAAAAACCAAATAATAACCTGAACAATTCAGTTCGAAATCTTTTTTTGGAAAGATTTGATTTCTAAGGTTGGTTTCCCAGAAATATTTGTTTAAACTGTTAAATAGCCAACTAAAGATTAAAAGTGTTGGTGAAACGTCCTAAATATTTAACTGGAGTTTAAAAGTTATTCATCAAATAACTATAGATTTATTTGTCGTTGATGAAACCGGAATAATAACCTTTAAATAAACAAATATTACCATTTGATATTGCAGGGTATGAGACAATTACGGATGCACATGTTAGCTGCTAGAGGCTACTGCGTAGTGGCAATCGATTCGAGGGGATCTCAACATAGGGGTTTACAATTCGAAAGTTACATAAAGAAACGTATGGGTACAGTGGAATTGCAAGATCAAATCGAAGTTTTGAAGTGGCTTTCGGACACCGTTCACTACATCGACTTAAATAGAGTGGCTATACACGGATGGTCTTATGGTCAGTTCGCTATACTGTTCAATTAAATTTAAAGCACACGCCGCGTTTATTATTTTACAGGAGGTTATCTCAGCCTTATGGGTCTGATAAATCATCCGGATGTATTTAAAATCGCCATAGCTGGAGCGCCTGTAACGAATTGGAGTTTGTACGATACCGGCTACACGGAGAGGTACATGGATTTGCCCGATCACAATTTAGAGGGTTATTACGAAGGGAACGTGTTGAATTACATTAACAAATTTCCCGAAGAGTAAGTACATCAAAATTTAATAGGTAGTATTTCTAAATAGAAGCATATCGTTTTGCTTTCTAAAAATGAAACGATTGCTTCAAGGTATAAGCATAAAAAGAAGTGAAGGAATAGGTTTTGCTTCGAGGATCCTGTTTGCTTTAAGGTCCAGAGTCATTTAGAACTGTTTAGAATCATTTAGAACGCTCCAGAATCATTTAAAACTGTATAGAACAATTTAGAATGCTCCAGAACCACTTGCAACTCTCCAGAGCCATTTAAAACCGTCCAGAATCATTTAAAACTGTCTAGAACCATATAAAACGCTCCAGAATAATTTAGAACTGTCTTGAATCATTTAAAACTGTTTAGAATCATTAAGAACCGAAGAAGCTTTTAGAACTGTCTAGATTATCTTTTGTTTCCACCTTTTACTTCAAAGTAAAAGCTTTGCTTAATTTTTATAAATACGGACTATAATAATGTGTATTTATAATATTGCTTGTTCTGTTTCAGAGAGAACCGGTTACTCATTATCCATGGATTGATAGACGAAAATGTTCATTTCTATCATACAAGCCAACTTATAAATAGCTTAGTAAAGGCCGGTAAACCGTACCAATTGCAAATTTATCCGAACGAAAGGCATTCATTGCGTCACTTGGACGCCAGTAAACATTACGAAACAACTTTATTGTCTTTCCTGCAGAACCATTTGTAAAATTAGGTTATAAAATACAGTATACTGATTGTAGAAAAAACTAAGCGAAACGCATTTAAAAAAAAATCATTTTATTTTTGTTACGTTTAATAATTAATTTCGTCATTATATTTTAGAATGTACGTAATGTTTTCAAGTCTGTTAGCGCAATTCTTTGAGTGAATTATGATTAAATTATTATTCAAAAAAACCATCGTTTCTACAAAATGTCAGTATTAGAATATCTGTATTATCTCGAAAATTAGGAGTAATCGCTGTGCTTCTCGTTGGCCTTTTCTAAATCTAATATATTTTTTCATGCAAAACATTCTTATGCTATTTTAACAATTAACTTTTTACCATCATTGCCAATTAATTTGATTCAGCAATAATTAGTCTTTTTATGCAAAATATCATTGGATTACAAAATTATTGTGGATGTGTTTGGTGTCATTCCATGACATTCCATCACACGACTATTCATCACGCGACATTTCTTCACGGCGACAATTCATCACTAGGACTATTCATCACACCTACTTTAAAAAAATATGTAAAATAAAACGATATTTTAGGGACAAAATTATCTTATGGTCGTGTTTTTTTGGATTCTTTCTTATACATTTTAATTGCAATAACTAATTCATCACACATTTCTTTCTACATGGTTTAGATAGAGTGTAGAAGCAATCGATTGAATTACTTTCAAGTTTTTAGTATTAACTTAGGACTTGATAAAGTTAATATTTATTTCCCGAATAAAGCTGAAAGAGGAAAAGTTGAAAATATTTTAGTTACGTTGGGCATCCTGACAAAGCTACAGCTATACTAAAAACATGAAAGTATTTCAAGCGAGTATTCACTTGCTTCTACACTCTATATTAACCGTGTAGAAAGAAATGTGCGATGAAATGATTATTATAATTAAAATGTTCAAGAAAGCATCTAAAAAACGAATAAAAACTAATTTCTAAAGTCTTGTTTTAATTTACATCTTTTTAAGTATAGTGATGATTAGTGGTAGTGATGAATTGTCGCCGTGAAGAATCGGCGCCGTGATGAATAGTCGCATGATGGAACGGCGGGATACTGTTTGGTGTTAATATGACTGGCAACTTGCGCACTTAATTGGATTGGCCCGTATTCAGCACCCCATTTTAAACTTAAACATGCCTTTAGAGTGTCGCTGTAACATAAACAAAGTCCCTAGTTACTCCACAACAACAATGTAAAACTGTCAAATTAGAGACGCGACTTTAAAGTCGTGTTTGAGGTTAAAGTGAGGCGCTGAATACGGGCCATTGCCTTTAATTTCGGTTAGTGTAAATTTAAGGTACAATATTTTTTACGTACTGTATTTGTGTGAGTAGAATTGTATTTTCTGTAAGCAGAAACCCCCTTACTTAAAATGCAAATTCGTTATATTATGAACACAAAACGCTTTAAAGTAGAGGTAACTTATTATTTTATCAGATAAAGTATTACCAAGTCATACAGAACAAATTTTCAATGGTAAAAGTCTGATACTTTTAAGAATGGAGTACTGACAATTAAGACAAAACATAGTTATGTATTTTTAATTTAATCAGACCTTTACCATTTATGTAAGTATTAAACAATATAGCTATTAAAGCATTGTTGTACTTTTGCAATGTTTAAAGGTGTTATTTTTTTAGTATCAAATTTCTAAGTAGACATGCTAAAGATTAAATAATATAAATATGTGTCTGATAATGTATGTTTTCTACTGTACTTTTCTGGATAAGAATTAGTGAAATTCGAAAATTAGGAAAATTCATTGATTTATTTGCTTATCAGCAGCTGAGGGTTAATTAACCGTGCGTCATTTTTGGTAACGAGTAAAACAATTACTTTACATTAGCATTTAGTAAAGTTTCTTACACTATAATAAGATGTGATTTGTACATACCTATAGTGCATTCGTAACAGTGTATTGTGTTACCCAAATAACCTTAGTATTTAATTCGAAAATGATATTAACTCCGCAATGGGTAAAACTGGAGTTACGGTTTACTCTCAGTTACTGATCTACTATAGATTCATAGACACATATTCAGATGTAACTGCTCTTTGGTTGATTGAACTTTTGCTTTTTGGTTTAACTGAAAATAATGAAGATAACTATATACGTTGTTCATGCAATTTATTATTGTACATAGGTACATTTTTTAACAAACTTTTATTGTACTGTATAATATAGTTAAGTTATTTATATGAAATTTCTAATAAAGAGATTGTTTTTATTTTGTTTTAACTAGTTTTTACAAAAAGAAACCTTTCATAGAAACCCCTTTTCTTACTTGAACATCTTCAACCACTATGGTTCCATAAAATTGTTCTCAGGTCCTTCATGTAACTACTCACTCTTGGTTTTACTCCTCCATACACAAAATATTTTAATATAAAATATCGAGTTCCTTAACTGCACAAGAGTTTTCTATGCTAAACTAACATTCATATCACTGTTACAATTTAAACGTAGCTAACACGATAAGAACAATAAAATAACGCCCGAATGAGACGAGAACATTAGAACTAGACGTGGATGCAAGTCGAACAGACGGTTCAACAAAACCCTCCTTATCAACAGTTTTACCAATCGATTGTTCAATGTACTTTTGTTCTGCGTAAAGGGCAGTAGTCTGCTCGAAGTGATGCTCGCGGGTCGTGGTTGAAACAACAGTTACATTAGCTTCTTCAACAATAACAGGATCATCTAAAAATCCATTATAATTAATACAATTTAATTTCAAACCGGCTTAACAATCTTACGAATGCATCTCCTGATTCTGTACGGCTTGTGCCCCGGTTTGCAAGAACAGCTTTTGTGAATGCACGCTATTTTATCCTCGCAATCGGCCCCGCAGTAGCACTGGTGGTCGTGCTCGCAATTGTCGTGGAGATCCCGGTTTTTCACGCATTGCCCTTGGTGCAGGTGGTGGAAGGGCTTGCAGGTGCATAGGCCCTTTTTGGTGCACATGCTGCGAGCACCGAGCTTCGAGTGGCACTCGTGCTTTTTGGAACATCGAAGAGGCGGCGAAGGCGCTAGAAAAACGAACTCGACATTTTCTCAACTATCAATCACTTAATTCTAGAACGAGGAACGAGGGAGGTATAAAAATTTCAGTTTTATTCGCTAATGAGATAATACGAGGGCGAATCAAATATGAACCGGAATTTTATTTTTAACGCTCCCTAGGTGAAGTGAGTAACATGACGTCTTGATATAATGCTGCATGGGATGTAAAGTAAAAGGTGAGTAAATCAGTTCGGATCGATAGAGCTGATTGGCTGTTAGTACAATCATGTTTGAGCAAGAATTGCACAGGTCTGTTGAGCAACGCATTATTATTAAATTTTTGTCGTGGGAGAGTATAAAACCTGTCAAAAGGGTGTGTCGATTAACTGCACAGTTCACTATAGAAACATGCTTTCAAGGATCCATGCCTATAATTGCCAAAATTTGTGAAAACCTGGAGGGGCAGCAAAATGGGACGAAGCCAAGATTCGTCTTTCTGATGGGAAAGTTCTTGCAACGAATTTTTTGAGATTGCAGGGGGCATGTTATTCATAGATTTTCTCCATGAATGACGTGCAGTTAATGGTGTGTATTACTGCCTACTTTTTGATGAAGTGAAGCTGGTCCATCGAAGAAAAAGGCAGGACAAGCGTATTCGAAGTGCAATTTTGCTCCATGACAACGCACAGCTACATTAACTCAAGAAAACGTGGACAAAATACATTTGGAAAATACTTTAGAACAACCACCCTACAAAGGAAATCCTGTAGGATAGGAAATTTGTGGTAATAAAAGAGAAGATGTAAGAGAAAAATAAGATGTATTCAAAATTATATTTAATTTATTAATAAATTTTCTAAAGCAAAATTCCGGTTCATATTTGATTCGCCCTAGTATTTTTGCAGCAAGTTAGGTTCATTCATAAAATTTAATTGCGAGAAAATTCCAACTCGAAAAAATTTAAAAACATCTTATTTATCGAATGGCGACTGTTTCTCTTTTCCTAATGAAGCGATTATAAATTATCTTTAATAATATATTTCGAAAGTGTGTTTTTGAGATATAAAGGAAGTATTATTTTCTCTTAATATACCGTGCAAAGTGGACGCCATAAATCAAATTAATAACGATTAATTGTCGTTCGTTTTTTAATGCAAAATCTGTGGTTCAAGGGTAATTAAGTTGGCTTATGAAAGGACTAGTTTACAGTTGAAGGATTCAATAGTACGAATATTTTAGTGTTTACAAAGCAGGTGCTTCTATTTATCATGTTAATGAAGTAGATAGGTAACTGAACTAAATAATAGAACTTTTTACACCTACGATTAATTAATATGCTTGTGCTCATTTATAATGAGTATTTTGACACGAACATTTTTATTGGTTCCGGATGTTGAAAAATTGTTGTATTCAGAAAGTGATCATCAAAATACATGTATTAGCTAATTTAGGAAAACTCGCCCAAATATTTTAATTATTCAAATTAGTCGTCAGAAAATGAAGCATAAAAAATTATAAATTGACGCATAATGGTGAAAGCAAATTTTATTAAATGATTTAGTACCAAGATGGTTTTGGGGTTTGGTATATCTAGTATCACAACTTGAACGAATTTCATAGATAATTTGAGTTAAACAGGAAAAGCAAAAAACTATAAATATCAAAAACGATAAACTGCAGGCATTGTTATTATTGTAACATATTGCATCACTCTTGCTTTCTAAACTCAGAAATTTATATAAAAAACCGTTTTCCTCTAATTAAAACTACCTATTCGATATGGAAAATGATTTAACGCCTATTCTATATTCAATAAAAACCTCACCTCAAAATCGATACGTCATTTTCTAACCAGTAAATTCTACATAAACTGTTTATTTTTCAAATACCTCATGCAAAATTGGGTTTAAACATTTTTAACTATGTGGATAGTTAAAATAAACTAAATTTTGGAAGGTTCATTAACCACAGAAAGTTAATAAAACAGCTCGGGGAGCAAGCGTAAATATTTTGGTTACATAATAATAAACAAGTGCAATGCACGTTTAACGCATTAATTACCACCTCAATTATAAAATGACCGTTAAATGGAAAAAAACAACAAGCGTTACATAGTAAACGGTATGGAATTTGTGGGTTTTAAATAGACGAAAATTGCCAAAAAACTAAGTAAATATTTTCAAATAACAGGTGAAATTACGCGATTACACGAATAATGCTTATGATGCCAAAAAAGTATGTGAAAATTTTAAAATTAGCAGACTAAATGTAACTTGTAAACATGGAAATTTCTATCTAAAGAGTTGTAAATATCTAATAACTCTTATACTCAATTCACACTAACCTGCTTTTATAGTTCCTATTTGATATGCCGTCGGAGTTGGACATCATTAAGTAACAATAAATCATACGACGGAAATATTACTATACTGTTTGCTTAGCGTCGAAAAAAAGAGGCGCAACACTTTGTGAAATGTTTTTCTTTTGAACAATCGGTAAACGCGGAAGTCAAAACAAACATATAGGTGATCGGGTATAAATAGAACCCTTGGGATGTTTCGCTACGTCGTTAATATTACAAGAGTGGTATATAAGTGGGCATTAAGTCTAATTTTGGATTACGGAATGCTGGGAATAGAATACAGGTACCTATAAAATCTATAAAGCGATATTTATTAGTTATAAAATTTTCTTACCATATAAACCTATTTAAAGTGTTTTAAAAATAGGAGGATTTTAAAGCTATGAAAATTGCTCTTACTTCTAAAAAAATGTTTTACTCACTTTGTACACAGCTGTCATACCATACAGAAAAATTCTCCCTGCAAACGCATGTCTGATTCCTGCAATACGTATCTATAGTTCCACAGTCATCATTTGTAAGGCAAGATCCATGCAAAGCGGAACCTTCATAAAAATTATGAGCAATGTAAAATTTATGAAAAATAAAAAAGAGAGATCTTTGCTTTGAATGCGATGCTCTTTTAACGACAGTACAATAATTACCTTGGCTTCTTTCAATTAAAACGCAAATAAAAACCAACGACAACGGTCGTAGATCCATCCTTTTATTATTTCTTTTCTTCTATTGCAAGAAATGCAATAATGGGATCAGACGTTGCAACGAATGATCATAGTTCGCGGACTCAACAATTAACTTTTATAGAGTGGACACGCATCGATCTGAAATAAAAGAAATATACAATTAATGTGGTTGCGACAGCAAATTGTTTCTCTAGGGAAAACTGCAAAACTGTCATACTAAAAATTTGATTCGTGCTTTAAAAAGACTTAATTTTATATGGAACAATTGTTATAAATAGAATTAATGCTTTATCTAATAATTGTCAGTTAAGTCAAGTTTTTTAATATTTCCGACAACTGTTACATTATTGTATGCAAGATGATTGTTATTACGTGCCCTAATTAAACTGTTTCCGGTCAATTTAATTTATCAAGCATAATTCATAAATTTATATTTGATATTTTGAACAATCAAAAGATTCGCAATTAATTCAAAATCGAATCGTAGTAAATTTTATTATCCTAAAACTTTTGAAGAAAACCCCGAAGAATATTGCAACACCTATACTCGCTCGCCCCATATCCAAATATAGAAGAGAAATAAAAACATTTTAACGATCCTGAAAACTATTTTCCCGCACACAGCGTAAATAATGGCAATAGATCAAACGGTCCATTTGCAGGTCGCACATGTTTAAGGATTTAGAGGAACTAACTAATAAACCAATTATTAGCAATCTAGCGTCTTATTTAGCATTCAGCACCTTCGCGGGGTCCCCCAAACATTTGGAGGGAAGTGTTGACACATTTAGAATAGAAAATTTAAAGTATTTTCAAGACGACTCCATAAAGGTATTTATCCAAAACAATGTCCTATTTTCTTGGCTAGCGGAAATAACGGGCCTCTGTGCTTTTAAGCTGGAATGCAATTTAATTCAACTGCAAAAATGATTGAATTTCAATTTCGTCCATTCTATCGTAGATGACGAACGGAGAAGAATATTTATTGGATGGAAGAGCAATAATTTTTAATGAGAGTAGGCACTCTACGTAGGTAATAAGGTATTTGTGGTAAGAAATGATAATAAATAAATCGAATTGTAACTGTAACAATAGCAATTAGTTTACCTGCATTTTAGAAATCTGGTACAAAAAACTGAAACATTGATAATAACACATATGGAAATGGTTAAAGTTGTCATCACAAGTAAATTTCAAATGAATTGAGAAATTCAAAACTCACCCAGTTATCTAAACAGCCCACGAAAAATGTCTAACAGGCCTAACACTCCGACGAAAATTCAAACATTTTTTATTCCAATTAACCTCTTTATTCCCCTTAAGTCTATAAATAATAGAGTCATTTCATATAATATTTTTAGCTTAATGTAATAAATAAATTATAATAATAATCGAGAAACTGTCTCGGCTGTCACCCTAAATTACATTCATTGATAAACCTACCCAATTTTTATATGTATTGAGGTCCGTTTATAGAATAAATCAGCGCAAAACATCATTAGGTTATCGTATAAAGTGTTAAGCACTAATTCACTCTCTCATTGAATACTTCCTAAATAAATACAATAATAAATTCATGAATACAACTTTACTTTATTTCATAAATGTAAGATCTGCATTCATGGAATATCCTCTACACTTTTGCTAAAGGATACCATTTTGATGCCTACTGAAATTTATGCTAGTCTCGTTTAAAAAATGGAATAGACTCTCGCAGACGCTGCTCTATTGTGGCGATTCGTGTATTTAAATAAAATATCCAGTAGCAGTCGCATAAATATTCCTAATTTTTAAATTTCAGGAAGAAGACCTTGAGGATCTTATTGTATGGCGATATTTACGCTCAACCGGCGTCAGAAGGATGTGAATAAAATCTATTTTATTACCAACAACTTAAAGAGGAAGATTATCAGTATAAAAAAATTAACAAATTGTTTTAATAATACAACTACTTATCTATCAATAAGTTGAATTATTTACAAGCTTTATAATTGTTGACACAGGAAAAATTATACAGTAAATTGCATTTGCTTTCAATGTAGGAAATTCTCTCTATTTTATATTTTATATAATCCTCTTTAATACAATGAACCCATAAATAGTCTATTTTCCGTTTCAGCGTCGCTATCTGAAATTTATACTTCCCATTTGTGTACATAGAACTCTTTGTAGCTTGTGTTAACTCAAATAAATAAACAAAGAACGGCCTATTCTAGATAAAAAATGACTTTTTGTAAATTCAAAAAGCGTGCAGTCGAGATGAAAGATCTTTTCAGTAGAAATGAAGGGGTTAAAATTATTCTGTTTGGGGTTGCCAGTTACTCTTTGAATATTAAAAGTATACAACGAAATATTTCTAGAAGATGTAGCTAAAATGGCAAGTTTAAATTAGCCGAGTAGTTTAGGGAAAAAGGTGAGAAATCAAGAGTTTTTCTCACAGATAAAGCTAAATTTATGGGCACCCTTAAAAATGAAACACCTCGCGCGGTTTACATTAATAAGCTAAGTCAATAAATTCTGAACCCTGAGCAAGCTGAAGAGATAATCATCATGGTTTAGGACTACAAACTAGAACATTAGGTAGGTATTTAGAAAAAAAACGTTTTAATTTTCCAACGATTCGTTAAATCTTTTATAAGGAGTTACAGTAGAGTCCAATTTTAAATCTATTATTAATATTATTACCAATGTTTTCTTCTCAGATCTAATAACGTAATCTCAAGTTTAATGAGTGAATTTCGAAAAGTTCCAAAACTTTTATGTACCCATTATTAGTTAAAATAATTTCTTTTATTCATTTCTTTGAAGCAATAACCCATAATAAATTATTCTCTTTAGCAATTTATCGTATATCGGTTTATTAAAAGCAACCCAACGATTTCAAAACATTACATAACTTTAACAGTCGTCGAATTACATCGTTTATAGGCTGAAAACCATTATTTTTATGTACTACTTCAGTCATGTGAAATCGGTAAGATCGGTTTACTAACAGATGTAATACTATTTGTCTTTCTTTTCCTTGTTTAGCTGACATTGCCGTGTCATGATGGATGGTATTGATGTCTTAATTTAAAATTTTGGTCATTAGAGATGTTAATTGACAGTAGAGTTCATATTAATTTAAAAGAGTCATGCGATTTTCTATGAGGGCTTATTTATTTATAAATGCTGTTACATTAAATGTTACACGCACTCTTCAATCAATTTACAATAACCGCAACAGCTTCCTTATTGTCAAAATCAATTGGAGAAATCCAAAATAGTTTGTCCTATGTAGAGATTGTTATAATACAAAAATCGACTGGCTTCACTGTCATTATAATAATAATCATGTCATAATTCAAAAGCCACAGCTGAATAGAAAACAATACAACAATAGGAATGATAATAGATCAACCCTTATTTGATCTGACCCATGATATGTCTAGGTAAAAAACCAACGTACAAAGGTGTATTATAAATTTATAATAATTACATTTTAGGGTGGTCAGTCGATTGTAAAGAAATCATAAGTTTTCCATCTATTCAAAGAGATTTTAATAGACAGAGGTGAAAGGTAAAGGTATTAAGAAACTTCGAGAGTAACTTAGTTGTTTAATATTGCATATACTATGAAAATTATAAAACCAGTTTATTCATTTCTACACTATAATTAGTGACAAATCTAAATAGAATGTAAAAAAAATCCTTCATCTATATTAAAATTGCATGTATCATTTTAACACGTTTTGGTTTCTAAGCTGTAATTATTGAGTCTTTTAGTTTCTCATTTCTAACGATGCATCAGCCTTTTCTGACAGATTAAAGTACATAATTAGAATCAATTACAAAAAAACAATTCGAAATAAGATTGCCCAATTTGCACGTTGAATGTTCCTAAAGAACTTAGTTGCTTTGAAATGCTTATTTGAAAGTTATTTTTTATAAAATTGCGATTTTCTGTGATATTAATTAGGAAGTAAGTACATTTAAGTGCAGTTTCAGGAATTTCCAATTTAACTGCAAGTTAATGTTTGTACCATTATCATCATTATCTTTGTTTCATTAATTTTGTTACAGCTGTTTCAGTTGATATGTGAAGACAGTTTATTACAATGACTGTTTTTAAACAGCAAATAAATAATTTATGATCATAAAAATAGTGTAATTAGAAGAAACTGCAGCTTATTTTAACATCTTGTTTATTTAATTAAGGATAGTTGCTACAAAACTTTTTGTGCTTTTTATAGCTTTGATTGTTGTTATAGTCTAATAAAATGAATGCCACACACATATTTATAGTAGATGTGAATTGAAGAGGAAATGCTTGCTTTTCGTGATTTTTTTTTAGAAAATTTTAATTATGATTTACTAGCGCTAAATTGCATTGGTTAATATGCAATTAATTATGCAGGTTAATCTAAATGGTTAATTATTAAGAACTAATAAAATAACCAATTCATCAATTCACACAAAAAAAACAAAAAAATTAAATATTAGTTAGAAATAAAAATAAAAAAGTGAACCGAATAAAAAACCAAATTTAGGCCAAAATAGAACTAAATAATACTTATTATATTAAAAATAAAAAAAAATATATTTAATAATCACTAATTTTTGTCTGGTTTCATTACGTGATGTAACCACGGGATTTGTTTTTTAACAAAAATCAGAATTAATAAAAAAGAATAATCTACTCACATAAAAATTGCCTTCGATTTAAGTGAAATTGCTCACTGAAATTTTGAAAATTCCGCGCTAGTTGTTTAGACGGAAACAGTTCGGCAGTCACCTCGACACTGGCAGAAGTTCAAGTACCAAGATACAACTGATTGGCTCTGGCCATCACTTTCATTCATAAATAAACTACGTCGTCCTCCAAGGGGATGTTAGTCCAATAAGAAGGGGTTTATAAGGGTAATTAGGATTCGTAATAAAACTGTTTTATTCGAAGTATAATATTTGTTTAAAATTTTTATATGCATTTTTTATTATTATAGTCTTCATAAATTTAAATCGTGTTTAACTAGAATATTTTTAACTTATTGGATGTTATGGATAAAGATGCGTATTAAAACAGATTTTAAGGGCTTAATTTATGTATAGATTTAAAACTTGTTGATTATAGTCATATCGCATGCCTACAATGTATTTTTAACTTACTCAGTTTAATATTTTGGCATTCAATTTCGGCATGTTTAATTCTGTTTTAATTTGAATTATGTGAAGTATAAAAAACAAAAAATCCATAAAAATATTGTGTGGCCTTCATAATAAGCCAGGTAGTGGTATCACATGTCAAATTTATTGACCAATTTTGATAATTGATCCCCTCTGCATCTTTATGAAATATTGCATTTAAACGATTTTTCAGTTTAGTTATATTTGTTCATGGTGATTTTTAACCATAAATTTCAAAATATCTGCTAATAATAATAGGTGTAAAATATCGTTGATCCAACAGCCCAAGGTGGTAAGAACAACCAGAATTTACATAAGCTTATCATAACTGGATCTTACCTTAAAAGTAAAGTACCTTGGTGAAGTACTTGTAGAGATACCTACTAATAAATTATTAAAATATATTTACTTATATGAATGAATACGATCGATTCTGTATCGAATTATTTATGGTAGTGTGGTATCATGGGGTTAAGGGTGGAGCAGATACATGTTTTTGAGGTGCTATTAGTTACAGGAAGACAATAACTGATAATCATCTTAACAAACTTAATACACCTACTAGTTAGGAGGTATTTTTCCCGCACTTTCTATTCTACGATGTATTTTTCCTTAATTTCAATGAGTCACGTTCGCAAGAAATACATAAAAAATATTATTGAGGATACGGTCTGGAAGAAGCGACAAACTTCACTTGCGATTATCGCCTAAACTACGGATGTTATTGATTTATTCACGAATTTAGAATTCTAACCGTGTAACTCCAACCTGTCTTGTATAACATCGCATTCAGAGAAAAATGCTCAGTGAATGAATATGCTAATCAAGAGATGAGGCTTTGATTTAAATGTCGCTTCCATATTTAAATTATTCGCGCTTTTTAAGGAAACTGTTTATACATACATACATACAAGTATCGCATAAGTTGTATTCTTTGAAACAATTAATTTCTTGTATGATTATTCTTTAATTAATTGATACAAAGTAGCTTTAAATTAGCTGGAATTATGAATTACTAAATGCTCTGTTGATGTTTGTTTACTTCTTATTGTCATTTTGTATAACAATTTTTTTATTAATTATATGATTGCTCGTAGGTGTTTTTACATCTCAACACTTCATAAAGTGAGCTTGTAAATGTCTCCATAAATCATTGTTAATATTGTTTTTTTTATATTGGCGATTAGTTATTAATATTATATCTTTTACCCTGATTGACCCTAAGACTTCATAAAACCGATTAAAAATATAAGAAGAAAATAAAGCGATTTGAAAAGCTTCGGCTTTTGTATTATATTCAATTAGTTCGATATAAATGTTTTGTATTTTTGTGTGGAAGAATAGAGAGATTGTAAATTGAGTTAGAGAACAATGACTTGTAAATTATATGCCTAAAATAGTTTATAAGTTTATTTTTGAAGAAATATGTTTACTAAACGTTGGAATAATTTATAACTGTCATTTTTAGACTCAAGCATTCGACTTCAAAGAATTATATTTGGACTGTTTTCAGCACAAATTAATTCGAAGGGCTCAAAAGTCGCGTGGGATTAATAAGTAAATTGCACTTTCAAAATCACATTACTCCACACGATGAGCCGAATTTGTGGCTTGCATAGCTTCATACAAATTAATTTGATTTCCGGCATTAATCCCGAACGCCGGCTCCCTCAAACGGACCATCTGATATAGTTACTCGTGTATATTTTACATTCGTGTTGATGCGTTTCGCGGCACCAATTACTTGCTGTAATAATAATAACAATGCGTAATGGCTCTCCAGTAACATCTGTGCCTACTGTCTGCGATCCCAGATTCCGACTAGATCGTGTTTGTGAACTATGCAAACTTGGTTGTTGAACCTGAAATTAATTGCAATAAATAGAACGTTACTACTATTACTGTAGGTAATAGTGCAATCGATTTTAATGGTTTTTAGAAAAGGAATAGATTTATTAGAAATAGTAAAATTAGAGGAGATAGAAATTAATGTAATGAAGGATATATTTGCTACATTATTGGAAACAGACCGGTGATAAGATTGGTATAGTCAAGATGGTCAAGACCTATACTATCATTCCTTAAAACCTTTGTAATTGATACTAAGTAGTTTTAATTAATTATTGTAAGTACATGAATTCTAAGAATACTTATGTACAAAAAAACGAATCTCCAGACTCCAGAAAATCTCCCAGAACCGAACTTTGCGTGAATATTTTACAATGTTTTAATAGATTCGATCGTAAAATTTAATTGGTGCATTTATTGAAAGCGAAAACGAGTATGATGCGAATGAAATTTACGAGTACCATCTCGCTATGCCATTTTTTTCGTTCTATTTCGTTTTCGCATTATAACGCGAACTGCTTCAGCTGTTCACAAGGTTCTGCATCAAAGAAAGACCTGCGATAGATCACCCGTAATGATACCATTGAATGCATTTGAATTTTAAGATGTCACTTGCAGATTCAGCTCGTGTCTGGAAGGACCCTATGTAAAGATCCTATAAGGGTCGTGTCTGAAAGTACATATGTATATATTTTTATTCAATGCGTGTAAGCTTGTTTATTAAAAGAAGATTTATCAGCGGGATGTGGTAATAAATTCAATTAACGATCAAAATTAATTATATCGGTTAAAAACGTACTGCACTGGTTAATATTTTGTTTAAATAATTAATAGTACCTAAGTTACAAAGCATATATAGATTTAACGCATTTTAATATGGGAATAATGCAAAAATGCATTCTTTTCATTATCTTGGTTAAAATTGCATTTCCTTTTAGCCACAAAAGCTTGTTGTGTTGATTAGCGTAAATATCACTCTTTGTCTAACCATTGACTTGTAAACATTAAAATTAAAATTATAAATTTTTTAAGTAAAAATCCTTAATTCCTAGCTAGTATTTCTGGTACGTCGTTGTACCGCTTTTTTGTAATTTTTATGTGATAAACTAGGCACTCATTTACCTACTTCAATTACTACAAATCGGTTTGAAATGGCAAGTAACATGAATTTTTTAAAAATTGCAGTGATTATTTTAGTAAATGCCGTTATAATTAATGCTGCTACAACTGGTAAAGGTAACTATAAAAATTAATGTCTTATTACTATTCTTATTGTTACTTTACAAGTAACAAAAAGTTGTTGAAAAACTTAACATTGCATTTGTAACACTTCTAGTATTAATACCTTGTGAAGACGATAACGATTGTACAGGCTTTGAAAACGCCACTTGCATCAATGCATTTTGCACGTGCAACGGAACTACAACGTGCCTGAGAAAATTTACTGTAGGTGTTAGTAGAATCGGCGAAAATTGCACTGAGACAGACGAATGTCTCGTAAAAAACTCCGAATGTCGTAATAACACGTGTAGCTGTGAAAATGGGTTTGTCAAAACTACAAATGGACGAAAATGTCTCAAAAGTACGTATATTTATTGTTTAGTTTTGTCTAAAACTATAAAAATGTCAATTTTTTTCTCTGTGGTTTCTTGTAAGTGACGATAAATTTTGTTTCTATGAGAAATGGATTCACGACTTTTTTTTATATCTCGTTTTCACCTGATTAATTTCTAGCAATATTTCAAAATCTTAAAAAAATAATTGTAAGTCTTGACAGTAGTAATACTTTGAAAAATACATAAAACACGCCTGTGATTTCGTTTACAGATTTTTTTAAGCGCATCTCATATTACCTAAACATGTGTTTCCCTCTTTCTATTTGTTATATTAGAAAGAGGAATTAGTGATTGATAGAAGTAATTTATAAAAAAAAAACGAACGAAATAACGAAAGTATCCTGTTCATTAGAATAAATTATTGATTTGAAACTTGTTATTTACTTAACAGTAATGTTCTTGAATAAGATACTGAAGAATAAATGTAAAAAAAAACATTTTTAATAATGTCTCACTATAATTATCACATTCGGTACGCATATTATTAGATCGTCTTATCGAGATTTAAAGGCTGTAAGAAGAATTTTGAAATAAAATGTAAATTGTATGGAATTAAGTGGTGTAGTCACTTTTTTTTATTAGTTTCAGATGGTGTCGACAGTTCCTGCGAAGATGACGTTCAATGTTATACCAAAACCAATCACACTATTTGTAGAAACAACAAATGCGCCTGCAATGGAACACACCAAGTGAATGGAGCATGTTTTAAAAACGCCAGTGAGTTGTCAATTAGAGTAAATTTAACTTCCTGGTATATTTACAACGAAATATTTGATATAGTTTTAATGTTAGACATTTGAATTAATTTACTCAGAATAGACCGTTGAAAATTCAGTGAGGGGTTTGGATTTTTAATTTCTTCAAATCGCTTCGAACCACATGAAATTTTAAATTGATTTATGGCCCTCTCCGTCCGTTAACCGGATAAATAGTAGCGTAAACGTCCAACGTCCTCATAATATGTCACTGGCGGCATCTTCAACGATATTATTCGGAGTAATCCCGTTTTTGTCGACCGTCGCCGCGTACACTTCTTCATGTATTGTTTGATTTAGTGTGGGATATCATTGGTCGGGTGAGTGCATCTCCATCAAGACCCGGCGGTTTTTTTTCTATTAATTGGATTCTTCCTCAAACGACGTGGTGTAATAAAGATGTTCGAGGGCGATAGAATGAAATTATATTTTGAGAGATCGTTCGATCACTAATCCCAGATTATTTGGAGTTTTTGTATGAGTTATTTATGATGTTTCAAAGTTCGAATGGCATCGTTACATTTTAAAATCGTTTTTTCAGAGCTTGGTGAGTCTTGCAAGGTAAATCCGGAATGCTCGCTAAACAAATTTTCTTCCTGCGTGAATTCGACGTGCCAGTGCAACGTTAATTACACGAGTGGTTTGAATAATACAGTTTGTCTTCCAGTATCATTGTCAGCAAACAGCTCTTGTGTAGAGAAAGCACAGTGTACTGTATCAATGGGAGATAATGCTCATTGCGTGGACGGATTATGCAACTGCAAAGAATTGTACTATTACAAGGACAAAATCAATAAATGCGTAGAAGATAAATGTACGAAATTATTGTATTAATTATTTTTATTATTTGGTAATATAATTTTTAATTTTTTAGTTTACGGAGAAAGATGTGCCACTCATAGTGATTGCCACAATCCTTTTCCGGAAAAAGAAAGCCGCTTAGAATGCATTATTGGAGAGTGTAAATGTAGATCAGGCTTCATCGAAAAGCACGGAATTTGCATTGGTAAGATCTTTATACATAAACACAATACCTACTAATTGTGCATTTTTTATAAATGTTATTTTTTTCAGATCCTTCGAGCAGTTCCCAAGTACTTGCTAGTTTATTTTTGTTCGTTCCTACCTTAATTATTGTTAATTTGCTTTAGGATTTTCTAATTTTTTGCTATATATTTTTACATTTTTATAATTTGTCTGTTTTATATTTCAATTTAACATATATTTACAAATATTTTTAATATAATTAAACATAATTTGCTACTAGTGGTAAAATACCTTCACATATTTTAATATTTGAATGTACCAACATTGTCAAATTAAACTACATAAATAAAATATTATACATACAAATTTATTTTGTTCCCATTATTTCAAATTGAACACTTATCAAATTATAATTAAAAAAATATATAAAAGAAAAATATCATGTATATGGAACAAATAAGATATAATTAAAATTAATTTCAACAATCCTAGTTTATAATATAAATCTACTTTATTGAAATAAAACAATATTTATAATTTGCCTTTATTAATAATAAAAAATTGATTGTTAACATTATTTAAAAGTATTCTATCGTATCAAATTATCCAATCGATCAAATTCCGTTTACCGTTTACTCTTTACAAGTTGGTAAATTGACAACAAAAAATGTATTAAGTTCGATTAAGGTAGCCAATATAATAAAAATAACATAAATTATTAATGAATACAATCCAACGAACTTATTTAATTTGAATTTGTTAAAAGTTAGTGCTAGATAGAAAGCTACCAAAGTAATTAAAAGAGTGATTGTACTGTATTGAAGACCTGAAGAGTTGATGTTTACCTAAGAAAGCACGAATAAATAAATCCAATAGTAATAGTGGTAGAAATTAATTGAAATTAATTATTAATTGTAAATTTACTTACCCACTTTTGTTTAGAAACAATAGTTGATTTCAACAACCAAGGTACACCCAAACACAACAATATATCAAATGTGTTAGATCCCAATGAATTGCTGATACCCATAGCACCTTTTCCTAAAATACCAGGAAATGTTTGATACTAGTTTTGCATGTAATAGAGCTAATTTTTTTTAGTCATGTGGTAAATTACCCTTTTTAACAACTGCTATGGACGAAGCTGCTTCAGGTACACCAGCTCCAATTGCCAAAAATGTTATACCCATAACTGAATCTGGAATTCCCAATATGTCACCTACAAGCAAAAATTTGATTATTTTTGTTCAAAAAGTATTCTGGATGAATAATTTAAATTTTATATGTTTATAAACACGTGTAAGTCTATGTGATGGAAAATGTCCAATTTAAAGTAAATAAAGTTTACCTATAACAGTTATCATCCATGACAGTAAGTAAGATAAAACTCCAATCCATAATATGCACGTTATAAACGTTATGGGAATCCAAAAATTTGATTTTAATTTTTCACTATTTGGTATAGATATGAAAAATAGAAAATTAATTGGCCAATTAATAAACCATAAAGCCTTAAAAAAGTAAACATTTTAAGTCATTAAATGTATATTTTTTTGACAGAGCTAGTAGAAAGAAACAACATTTTCACAAAATATTTGTTAATGAATACATTTGTACCTGCTTAATCCAACTGATATCTCTTGGCCACTTCCATAATGAAACGCTATTATCTTCGGACTCACCTTCTTCAACTTTAATTTCTTCATTTGATTTTGCCACACCACCAACAAGGTTTTTTCCTACAACTTAAATAAATTAAAATCTGCAAAAATATATTTCTTTCTCACCTTGAAATAATCCTTGAACTTTTTTATCGAAAAACAAATATACTATGTAACTCAAATACACCAAAACTAATGTCATTGCCTCATACCATTCAATTTTTTCGTCATTCAAAAAACCAATAAGAAGACATACTGATATAGCATACACAAGGGAGTCTCTGGTAAGCGGCCACCAATCCAATATCAATTCTTTTCCAGTCTATAAAAAATATGCATTGGTCGTCTATTTGATCTCTAAATATTTTACCTACGATCGCCAAAGTTAGTCCACAAGCAGCTGTTACGGCCAAAATATTAAATACACCCGATCCTACAATAGTACCAAGACCAATATCCCCTTTTGTAACAAAAGTACCGATGATGTTTATAAAAAGTTCCGGTGAAGATGTCGCAGTTGCCATGAAAGTAGCTCCTCCGATGTCGGAAGGGACGTGGAGAACTAAAAATACAACAAGAAATAAAACGTTCTTAGCGCACACTTAAGATTTATGCATTATTTAACACATCAGTACTCACTACGACATACTTTTTCCACCACCGGAACGAAATACTCATCGCAAACTGTAGCTATAGCTATAAATAAATACAGTGTGACTAAAACGTGTACAGCAATAGCTCCATTTTCTATTTGGTGTCTTGAGAATAAACCTTCAGGGAATTCTTTAATTGCAGGTGGTGTACAGTTGTAAACCTCTAAAAAATACAAACGTATAGTAACATGAATAACTAAAAATTGTATTCGCCGATTAAAGAAACACACCCATTGGTATTCAACTGGAGAAAAATTAGCTATAGCGAAGCATCACTTTTGTACTGGACTTATCACATGGTTGATGAATTTGTAGAGTACAACTTAACATCTGCTGATGCGCATGTTAATAATTAACTTCAATTGGTAGATCAATACTTAAGTGCACAAAAACTAAAGTGATAGTGAATAAATGATTAATCGAAAAGTAGCACGTTTTATTATAGGTTATTGGAGTATTATTGAATATTTAATTGTCTGATAAATTTCTTTAGAATAATTGATTCTTTTACCTGTTTTTTCAATCCGCTGGACTCAACAAAAATACCTAATAGTTATAAGACGTAAAGAAATGTATAATTTCTACCAGACTATAATGAAACCACAATCATCCAAAAATCAAATTCTCTTTATAATCAATGTACAAGGTGTTTTTTAATAACATGCTTTTTCTGAAGTGAGTGTTTCTTCGGCCCATTTTAACAAAAAAACCTCGTAATATTTAAAGTGGTATGGAAGTGACAATAAAAAATGATTTTTTTTTAAACTTTAACACCCTATATCTCAAAAGTTAAGACGTGTAGGACATAGGTTCATATTAAGTTTTTTTCTTAAAATGGGCACAACAATGTTATTAAAAAACACCCTGTTTATTAGGCGTTTCATTTCGAAAACAAGATCGGTTGATAAAATATTAATAACCATAAACATTTGAGAAGTATTATTTAAAATATTTATTACTACATTGGCCATAATGAATCAATACTTTCAATTACCCTTTAAAATTTAAACAAATCTTATTAATTATTTTTCATTGAGCATGTGATTAAGAAAGCCGAGTCGAGTAGGTACCTTTTATAAAAAAATTCAAATCCTGTCCTGATCCAACGGAAGATTGAAATAATTAGGTTACGCATCGACATTTAGAATTCATTTACCTATACATACCTACGTATCAAACGCGAACAGGTTACGTTCTTATCAGTGATATCATTTTTATCTATTTTCACCTGTTTTTTTACAATTACTGCTATACAACGAAAATGTGATGTGACCATTTTATTTCAGAACACACCTAGTTTTAAGTTTATTTATGAAATTTACCAAAAATGCGTGCCTTTAATAAACACCTACTATTCGCAATTTTATGCGTTTTCATTACCAGTGTAGTTTGTCAACAGGAAACCGATTTTTCATTGAGACAATCCAATTTAAGTAAGTGCTATTTTTACTCCGCTTTAATATTGATTCATGAGTTCACTTCAATTTTCAATGATTCTACACCTAGGTAAACCTATAGTGTATACTTAATTCATTATAATTAAGAACTTAACATTCTTAAGAAGTTCCTAATGACCACACCTGATGAATCATTTTCTACTCAATCAAACATGGCATTCAATAAATTTCCTATTTAAACTAATACGCGTTTTTTAAATTTTAGTAAGTTATTCTAAATGCAGGGTAGATAAAGATTGTCTGAACATAAGCAACAACTCTTTCTGTTTTGATAACGACGCCGAAAAAATAGGAAGATGCAAATGTAGAGATGGATTCGATATGATCAGTCGAGATAAATCTCATTTTGATTGTTTAGCAGGTGAGAACTTTTAAACAACTAGTAACACCTAGTTAAGCTGATGAATTTAAGGTTGATAAGTGTTGTAAATTTCAGCTGCAGGATACGGCCAACCGTGCGAAAAAAATATGCAGTGCCAGTTGATTTTGACCGAAATTGCGGAATGCCACCTTGGAATTTGTCAATGTAAAGAGGGCGCCCATTTGTATAAAGACGGACGGTGCTATTTAGGGGTTTGTAAGTAAAATTATTAGCAAACACTTAACATATTTTTCCTGCAATTTTCCTGTATTTCTAGTATTGGATGATTTCTGTCAAAGTGACGCAAACTGCTGGTTGCAGGGCGATAAATTCGGCAACTGCGTCTTCGGCAGGTGCACCTGCAAATTCGACAAAGAAGTACCGAACGAAGATAAAACAGATTGCATAACGGGAAAAAAACTAGGCGAGTTGTGCAACAGTGATGCTGAGTGTTCCATCACGTACAATACTCAGTGCAGGGTGAAATGCCAGTGTGCACCCGATTTCGTTTTATCTCGCGACCAAACTAGATGTCTCAGAGGTGATTTTTTGAATAATTCCAAGATTAGTTCGTTCAATTTTTATTTACATTTTAGCTGCTACACAATTCACGGATATTTGCGAAGAGAACGACCAGTGCTCTGCTTTTTTGGAAGGAAGCATCTGCGCTAACGAAACTTGTACTTGCGAAAAGGGTTACCACGGTTATGGCAATCGATGTGTCAAAACAGTGGCTCTTAAAGGTTCTTGTGCCAGTTTGGACGAATGTATTTTAGACGAAAGAGATTCCAACGCGTTAGGTTGTGTGGATGGTACTTGCGAATGCCTCAAAGGGGTTGTAAATGAAACGCTAGGTTGCAATAGAGGGGAATTAATTACGTTTAGTTACAGTGTAGCAGTTTGCTCTGTTATGTTACACCGGTTTTTTAATTTTTTATAATACAATTGTTATTTTAAATAATCCTAATGCGTATTTTTACTCACTCACATTTCCTAACTTCAAACGTTACCATTGCTTTACCATTTCTTTACCATAAAAACGGCAACAATGGTAAAATGATAAAAGCGCGCAGATAAAAGCGAGCTTATGCTGCCATCTGCTTAGTAATGAGAAAATAAAAGTTCTCAGTCTCTTCTAGATTACTGTAAAATTCTTTAAACACAAAAACAGCTTTTTACGATCCATTTTTGATCCAATCATAATCAAAATACACATTTTTTTTCTAATACACAATAATTTTATAGTTCATACGTATTTTTACATTTCATTACTAAAATCTTACAGTTTGGGGTGGTTTGGGTGTTTGTTACAGAACAGGTATGAAGGAAATAAATGTTAATAATACACCCCAGCCCCTAACTACCCTCTCATAATTCACAACAATAGGTAAGTACACTACCTGGTACCGGTAATGTACTCACCCCGTCCCCGACGAGTTCATTTCCTATCCGTTTAGTTCAAAATAGAAAAATAGGATAGATGGACAAGAACATAAGACTTTAATATCCTAAGCTGGCATCGTCTGCACGAAAGCTCAAATCTGATTGGGGTAGTGCGGTGAAAAGAAAAAGCAACCATCGAAGAAGCGTAGTTGTCACGTTCAACGGAAAGTCGTAGAACTTAGTACATCGCAAATGCGTTAATATTTGAGCAGGAACAGATAGGTTTGCTAAAATTCATTGAAATTTGAACAATTGTTTCGATAAGCAAAAGCAAAATTTCTATAGGCAAACTAAAACAGGTAAATTTTTAATAAATAATCCTCTCTTTAAATGATATTTCTTGTTCACTACGCCTTTATGTATTTCTATTGTATTCAAAGATTTAAAAAATAAATGTTATTCACCAATTACTTATCTATAAAACCACAATTTATCCTTATAACTGCTTCGTCAAACAATTATTTGTATGCCGCGTTTCGTCCACGACGCATTAATTACATGCAAATGGTATGGTAAAATATAAGAGAGCCGTTGTTTGTTTCGGTACCACCAATGGTATCATCGTCGTCGTCGCTTTTTCTGTGTAGCTCCTAGTCTACAGTGCGACCTCTAAACCGGCAGGCAAGTTACCCATATGTAGGTAGGCTGCAACTTAACAGTTCTTCTACCTAAACGTACGATGTAGTACTGACTTAAGTTTCTCGCTTAAATTGCCATCAAAAGAAGAATAAACAAAGAGGTTTTCCATATGACGAATTCTTGACACATGTGCACGAAGCGAAATTTGAGGCAAGTGTTTCGTAAAAATACTGCATTGTATAAAGTGCGTTACAATATTATAGGAATTAAAGGGAAAATGGAATGTGTAACGAGTGTTTGCTTAATATGGATTAATGTTTAATTGCAGGTAAATAGAGGATTTGTTTTTAATCATATTTAATGTGTTTATTGTGCAAATGATTTCATTAGTAACTGGGTTTTGTATTTAAATCAATTAATTCAACTTTGTTGCGTCTATTTTTTTGTTTTAATAATGTATTTGTCTATTAAAAATATCATTTTATAATATTTAATAAACTGATTTAACTGGAACCTAGATATGTAGTGACAGTTTCGTTAAAATTGAATAATATCTAATGTAAATATTAATTAAAGTAACAAATTGATTTTGTAAATCCGTTAAAGCGATGGAAATTACCAAAATGTCCAGTGTTAATTGATTGACGTATAATATTTGTTTTATTTTAATCAAATTTTGGTTTGTCGTGCACATTTTAGTCCGTAGTCGTGGGAATAGAAATCGGTAGGTTTTTTTTAAGAACCGAATTTCAACCTCGAAAAGGAAATAGATATCTTTTTGTACAGGAAACTGAAATTATATTAATGGTTTTTTCTGGTGATCATATCGTCATGGAGATTCAATTAAAACTAAATTTTGCATTATATATTACATCATCAAATATGATTAACTAAATTTACTTTATGGGAATATTTCAGTTTACCATTTTTCATTACATTTTCCAGGTATTACCATATGAATAAATATTGTGTAACACAAACTACAACTAGGGCATACATTATTTGATGAGTAATGAAAATTAATAAAATTTTCCAACGTTAACTGAATACTGGGTTAAAATTTGCACAACAATCATTTGAAGATTTGGTCGTATTTAACATGTAACTTATATGATAAAAGTATTACATTTGGTTTTATCGCACATTTGGAATTTTTTGTTTATCAAAGGCAGGTGGGTAATAAATAACGCACTGTAAAATGTGAGCTGGTAGCTGGCTTACAAAACATAATAAAAATTGTGTAATAGATATTTGATTACATTGGTTGAGATCGGTATACATTGAAATGGTGATTTCTTGTGCTCCATAAATATCTATTTCTGGAATTATAATGTATAAAATGAAACAATAATAAACAAACAAAAATCTTATAGGTTCGTTGCTAAATTGTAATATTATAGCAAAAATCAAAGTTGATACGCTATGAAAACTTGATTACCTTGTGTTTTGATGTTAGACAACAATTAGCTATGTTTATTGAACGATTATTATGTAAGGTAATATTTTTTATTGAGTACATATTAAACAGTTGGGTTAGCAAAATTTTCCTTTCAGTGATCTACAGACTGGTCTAGAGAAGATTGTAATGAAAATATCAAATTAAAATCTGTACCTAATACTTATACCTTTCAGTAGAGCGTAAAAAGTTAAAGATTATCATATTCATGAATCAGTGACGTAGACTAACAGAATTTTTACCGGTAAAGTAGGTAAACTTAGTAATATTATATTGGTTTTCCAGAAAATAGGCAAACCTATATAAATAATAAGTTCATATCGAATATTGTGAAACATTTTGCCAAAAACCTTTTAAACCAAGTAAACAGAAAAATTTACTATGAATATTTATGAGCACGAGTAAACAAATTTAAAACAAATTCAATGTTAAGTTTATGAAACATTTATATTTGATAAATAAATCGCATGTACATAGGAAGATATTATATGTATGTATGTATGTATGTAATAGAATAATCACAGCGTTCATATATATCATTTTGACATCATGGAAATAAAAATATAGAACATTTTGTGTTGTTTATGTAATCAAAGATACGCCAATGGAAATTTAGTAATACACGCAAGTCCAGGTGTTTATTGCCTCTTGAACCCTACCTATACTCTGAGACATCCTGGCATTATCAAAGGGCTTCATTCATTTACTATAAGGGACTGGCTAAAATCAATATTCAAATAGGTAAACATAAAATTCAGTTCATGGAATATCATTACTTGCATGTACACTAAAAATAAACTTTTTCATATTTGAAAAAAGTATTTCCTGTATATTTCACTTATTTCAACCCCTCCGAATAACCAACCCTCCCTATACGCACATTCGTGAATCGTGAGACACCCTTCCCTGAACTTTTACTGCGTAGTTCGCTCGTTTTACTTACATTAGAACGTCTGTTAAAGCCATGTGCAATAAGAAACTACTAGAAAAGTTTCAAATGAAATATTTTTATCTTCTTACAATGTAAATATTTCCTGTTCGATTGAAAATGTTATCAATATTAATGTATGTTTTTTTATTCAATTTAGAGTAACCATAGAGAAGACACTTTCGAAGTTTTCAACATAATAGAGACCCCGGATTTAATTTAAAATATTGGTTACACATCGATCAAACTTTTTCCATATTAAGGAGTAATAACAGAAGAGAAGTGGCCCGAAGTTCGGTGGTGGTTTAGAAAAAACGTTACGCGAAAATGATGAGATATATTGGATTTTTAGCCGTTTTCGTTGGATTTTTTGTTAGTTTTTGTTACGGCGATTATGAAGGTAAGAAGTTTAACATTCTTGTTAAAGGATAATATTAAAATGTTTAGGGGTATAACAAATATATTCACATCAATTTAACAAAAATTTGCATAAATATCGCCTCGTAAAATTTTCTATTACATATCATCGCACACAAATTATTTGCTTACTTCCTGTATGAAATTATAATTAAAGCACATGTCAGTGACTCTTGCTGTACTTGAAAAGCCTATTGAATTACTTCATTTGAATGTGAAACATATTCCATAAATCCATACAAAGTGTGATAAATCTCACCATATTACGCATTAAACTAGGTTCACTGCTGCACAATTTTTAGTCTGTGTGACCTGATTGATCAACTTAATTATGATATGAATTAAAAATATGTTTGTTAGAACAGTTGTCAATAGTAACTGCTTTGATTTTTGAAACTAATACAAAAGTTATTGAATGGAATGAAATTTTTAAGTTGGAATTTTGGACTTGACTCAGAAAATAGTGAAAGAATAATGGTAGAAAGGACGTAAAGTTAAATGCGTAGAAAGTTTTAAAGTTAATGTGACCGGACTAATAAATGTCTTTAAAGTTTTTAAACTATTAATTTTAGTAGCAATATTAAATTGTCACGCGTTCGTTAGTACTTACAAAGTAGCAGTCTTTAATCGAGTTATCGAACGTACTTTCAATTAATTTCTTTACAGCTTTTTTCAATGGTTCTGGTTGATAAAGTATTCGTTTCGGGTATTATGTCAATAAAAGCGTGAAAAGAGTAATTTCCATGATCGTTTTTAACGCTAAATATATTAGTATATTTTTATTTTAATTGTACAAATTGGTATTTATGATCTTTATAAGTTAACAAAACGATTCCATCAACCTCCTTTAATTTTATACAGGTTGCTCCATTTTTTATCGCAACATAGGTTATATAGGCCATGGGTGCGATAAAGACAACTTCCATTAGACACTTATAATGAAAAAGGAAAGAATGACATTTGTGTTATTGCAACTTTCCACTCTAACAACTGTCATTTTAATAATCTTTCTTTGTTCAATTCATAGAAATGCCCATGTTGCAATAGGAAATAAAGCTAGGTGTATATGTACCTCATCTAAAAGGTAAAGATCGTGTATTATTTTCTAGTCGTTGTAGAAACGAAAATAATATATAATTATTATACCTCAAGGTTAGAAGATGTACTTATATCTACTCGGAACTTAATCGACCAATTATTGCCTAAAATCTCATTCGAATTTACTGAGTCTCGTCTTGCACAATCCCATCGTCATTTTGATACTACAATAGGAAGTTTGAACTTTCTCTTCGCTCTCCAAGAATTTAAAGTATTTTAGAAATGCTCGACATGTTGATCAAAATGTTCATTAACTACAAGGCGCAAGGCTTGCGACATTCTAAATTATTTCCTGTTAGATAACAAAGATAGAAGGCTCATAAAAATATAGAATAATGCATCTTGAATCTTTAAAAGCGATTTTAAGGCGAGTCGAAATAACAATTGCAAGTATCAAAGAAATACAAAAAGTCATTTGTAAAATAAGTGGATTGTTCGGTAAATTAAATCTATTTTTAATTTCAGGTGAATTAAATGACCCTTGTCAAATTGTAAAGGAATGTAGACAACATGCTTATTTATGCAGCAGTAACAGGACATGTCAGTGTTTGCCATTTTATAGGCCCAACAAATATTGGGATAAATGCATTGGAAGTAAGTTGGCAAAAATATTACATCAATTTGCTTTCCTTAAGTTACTGTAATTAAATTACAAACAAAATTCAAGGTGATATACTCATTAATATACTCAATTTTTGTTTTAGTAATAGGTCAAAAATGCAAATATGACGAACATTGCATTGAAGGAGCTTATTGCAAGCACCAACAAATATGTGAATGCAAGGAAAATCTGTTTCCCAACGAGGATAAAACAGAATGCTCGTGTAAGTTTATTCTTAAAGTAGCTAAAAATCAATTATGAATCTGCAATTACGTGACTTTTTGTCACTGTTTACTGGTAAAATAATACAATCTTACCATTATTTTACAGTTGTTTTGACTAAAAGAATTTTTGAAATTACAATAATAAGGATAGGATTGTTTCTTTATGCGAAATTTAACTATTTATCTAATAATTATTTATAATAATACCTAATTGATGAGAGTATCAAATTTTCTGATTTCCAATTAGCTTTTTTTCTGACACAAAAGTAAAAATAAAAATAATTGAAATTAGAAAAATTAAGCACATTTTACTTATCTTTAATTCACCTGTAATCTTTGTATAGTTCCTGTTTTTTCAGATTCCTCTAGGAATACGTCGAATAAATACATAGTAACATCACTGCTGATCTTAATGTACATAAAACTTTACAGGATAATATAGAGGCGAATATTCAATATATGCTGAGGCGAGAAGAATTAAGTGCAAATGAGTCTAGAAGTTCTTTCTTTTAGTTTTTATTATAAAAGTTTTGATGAAACGAAAGTTACCTGCCATATTTATTCGTTTTATAGATATATAAGTATCCATAATAAAAAATGTACTTATGTTATTTAATTTTTGAAAAAAGTATTATTGTGTACTTAAAGCGATTGTTTGTTGATTTTTGTAAGTATTGATAGATGTAAGCAATTAAAAATGTACCTATTTATTTATTTTACTGTACAATTGGATGCAATTTAATTCGCTGGTTAGTAAATTTTATCTTTTCCTAAGTACAACATAATTGTAAAATTATCAATTCTGAAATTATACTCAATGTTTGCAAGAAATAAAAGCCATGTCGATGTAAAGGTGTAATGTCAATCGATGAACAAAGTTTTGACTTTTTGGCCGTAGAAACAGATTACTTTAACTCACCAGGGAATTATGCAGCACTTATTAACACTTACATACAAAATATTCTTAAGTAAACCAGAAGTTGGTAAAAAGCAGCTATTTCTTGGTATAATAGATACTAATTAGTATAGCATAGTTTTGTACTACTTTAGATACCATCAGCAGTAAATTAGCGATTAAAATAAAATATAATGAACAAGAATTAATTTACGTTAGAATTGTACTCTAGTTAAACCAATATTATCATTAAATTTTACAATTTTACTTTGGAATATTATGTAGGTATATAAACTTGTGCCTTTTAAAGATAAAATATATACGAAACTAAATTGCCTACTCTTTTTTATTTTAAAAAGTCAAATACTTCGGAAACAATTGATAATGAAAATGATTTATAGTTGCTTTCTAAAATAATATTAACAAATTTTGTTAAGATGAAATAATAACAGTTTTTAACGAGGAAGCCACTTTTTAAGCAAACATCCAAATATTTACACAAAAGTTCTCATAATATCTGCTAATGCAAAAATAATTATACCACTTCAGAAGTACCACTATCATAAATATTGATAATAAAAACAAACTGTTACGTTTATGCTTGGAAAGGAGACTACAATGTACAACAATGTTTATGAACATTACTTATACATACAGGGTGTCCGGAAATTCAGGGGACAAACTCCGGGAGGTTGTAGGGGGTGGTTAGTGAAGCATATTGAACATAGGAACTTGGGGTCGCCGGCGTCTCCTAGCGGCGCTGTGCGTCATCAAAGATGCTTCCATCTAAACTCAATAACTTTTTTATTTTACACCCGTTGGGCGAAAGGGAATCCAGTTCCGATTTCGGAACCGTCAACAAGTAGGGTCCTCGTAAGGGAGTTCATCGGGGTGAACCAAAAGGACCTGGAGATGCCGTCGGGAGATCCAGAAAGAGTTTTATTTTCTGCATAAGCGTTCGAATTCCATTGAATCCTCTAGCACGGAGATATGTTTTGGAACGTGAAGAGCACCGCAGTTGGAGCGGTGTCCGGATCTTCGCTCAGAAATCCAGGAGAGGGCAAAGTAGAGGTGTCGCGACAGTTCGTACCCATATCCTCAATTTTTCAATCAGTGAGAGCATCTCTCTTGCGGCGCTGCCACGTATGTGTTACAAGTGGTAGGGGTCATTTTGAAAATATGATGTAAAATTAAAATGTTATTGAGTTTGTATGGCCGGCGACCCCAAGTTACTATATTTAAAATGCTTGACTAACCACCCCCTACAATCCCCCGGAGTTTGTCCCCTGAATTTCCAGACACTCTGTATAATATTTATACTTTTTATATAGAAAATAATGTAAATGATTTTTTCTATACATACATAATTTTTTCCAGCAAAATATTTATACAGGATGACATGAAATAGAAAACAGTCGAAAAAAAAAACACAAAAAAACAACTTGTATTTCATTTAGCACATCGTTAGCTTCTTTGTTCACAAAATTATTTCAAAAACCCAGATAAATTTGAATGGAATTTGAATTATTTTAAATATTTGCTTTATTAGCATGAATAAATTTTGCAATGCCTCTAAGTAGGTACCTACAAATTTTATTATTTTTTGTTCCTATAATTTGTAGATAAGCAAAAGATATTTACATAAATTGTTAAATTATAATGATAAAAAAATTTCACATACCAAAAGAATATTTAATAATTACTTATCATTCTTAATTAGTCTCTCTATTGCATTTGAAAAAATTCCCTAAGCATTTCCTATCGCATGCACCTTAAAATAAACATGTTTGCATTCACCAAATAATAGCATTAAAATTCTCATAGCAATTAGACAATGTATCGTTACGCCAGAAACAGATAACAATACCAATACCTATGTCGGAATAGGTATGTCATAACAAATTATTTCCTTATGCACTTCTTGTAGAACTCTCGAAGCATATCAATTTTTCGCCCACCTGAGCACTATGGCTCGTGAAGTGCAAGTAAGGAACTTTCACTGATTTATTTTTTGATAAAAATACTTGCTAACAACGAATAAATTCTAATGGTGTATTGTTTTAGAAAATTGGCAAAAAATAATTTATTTATAGGTAATTATTATTACCTAACTAAGAAAATTGAAGATGAAATCAAAGTAACTAAAAATTCTTTTTTATAGACTACATACATACATACATTATATTACAAATAAACCTAATTCCAGTTTATACAGAGTTGGGCAAAAGTCCGGAATAAAATTATTATCTTTTGAACCAGTAATTTAAACAAAAAACGCCGAAACACGTAAATTGATTTTATATTGTACGGATTTGTTGCCAACAAAATGATTTTTTTTTCTTCAACCCCTTAGTTGCAACCCTACCCAACTTTATTTTTTCAAATGCAAAGGTATGTCGTGTGTAGGGTCATTGAAAAGCCCGTGAAAAATGGAATCTAAAACATACCTTTTTTTTTATTTTTCTCATTTTGTTATTTGGAAATGAGCAAAAATTTCTTTTAAAAACAAAAAAGTTACAAATACCTTTTTAGTGCTATCGACGTAGCAATGTTGAAAATGCCCTTCACCATCTACTTGACAGGCTCCCAGCCGTTGGTAAAACTTAATATCGATAGCATATCTTTAATTCTGAATGACTTTTTAATAAAAACAGGCGAACCTTTGGTAAAAAAAAACTTGTACAAAAATGCAACACCTGTTTTCCTTTTTGAAGTTCACTGATCAACAATGGCTTAGATTTAAACCCATTTTATGTTTTTGTTTTTTCTTAAAACATAAATTTCAACGAATGTTGTTGCTAAATTGCCTTATCAGTTTTAAACGGTAAATCAATAAAATTTGGTGTGCTGCCTGACCAGGCTCGCCTGCTTTTAATAAAAGTTCATTCAGAATTAAAGATAGGCTACCGATATTAGGTTTTACCATTGCCTTGGAGCCTGTTAAGTAGAGTAAGCCTTAATTCACACGTCGATACCACTAAAAAAGTATTTGTAACATATTTGTTTTTAAAAAAATTTTTTGCTCATTTCCAAATAACAACATGAGAAAAATAAAAAAAAAGGTATGTTTTAGATTCCATTTTTCACGGGCTTTTCAATGACCCTACACACGACATACCTTTGCATTTGAAAAAATAAAGTTGGGTAGGGTTGCAACTAAGGGGTTGAAGAAAAAAGAATCATTTTATTGGCAACAAATCCGTCCAATATAAAATCAATTTACGTGTTTCAGCGTTTTTTGTTTAAATTACTGGTTTAACAGATAATAATTTTATTCCGGACTTTTGCCCAACCCTGTATGTTAGATGCCAGTATTAATTTAACGAGTTTGTTACCTACATACGCGAACGGTCAACCTGTAATTAACATAAAACATTTTAAACAGATCTCAATCTTCTCTCCAAGCATGCAATTTGTGCTTATTGATTAACTATTATTTACATGATATAAATTACAGTCCTCGCATATTAAACTACAGATAATAAATAGTCTAAATAATTTCGTTAGTAGCACAGAGAGATGCTTATTTAATCGACGACATAAATTTTTCATTTATTAGTTAGTTTTCCTGCGGAAAAAACACAAAATTCTGAATTCGCTCACCGTCAAACAAATAGCAAAGAAAATTATAAATAAAGTCGCTGATTCCACGACAAGAAATTGATTTAATCATGAGGTAAGTACCACTACTACCGGTATCCACCGTACTCCACTTCTTTCTCTTTTACGCTTCGATCTCCGGCGCAAACAGTAGCTACTCTTGTTGATATTCGATACCGAAGAATCATTTGAATTTTTTTATTAAATCATCTAACGGTGTCCAAGTCCAAGTAAAAACGGATTGCTCGCTGTCGAGACTCATCCGTCACATCGGCATCTGTTGTTAGACATGAGGCCTTTTGGCAATGTTATTGGGTCGAAAATACTTGCTGATCTCTTTGATTTTGTGCTTGTCGGTGATCGTACCTAGTGGAAGGTGTATTTTAGTGAGGAAATGGAGAGGAGGAAAACACAGGGGCTATTATTATAACATGCGAAGGGGTAAATTTAAAACGGGTAAGTACATAATGAATTTTTCTATTTACTTAAGGTACATACTAGTTTCGATATACGTGAATGAAGACTAAGGTATACAATTATATTATATAAACTTAAAAAAAACATTTAACATAAAAAACGGTCTCTTTTGTGAATTTTTTGAGCACCTGGTATATTATCTGTATCTCGTAACCATTTGAATATTTCTACGCCACATTTTTATTGTTTGAATTGTTTTCTGCATTTTTGAAGGCATTTCCGTTGAATGGAAAATGCCTAGGATTTCAGGATCATCAAAGCTATTTCATTTTGTTAGTTGTATGCAAATTCAAATTCCAAAATTTGCTATAAAAGCTCGTTTTGAACAATGTCGACTGGATTATAAAAAATATAGATAAGTGTTCAGTATCAAAATTGGCTAAATGATTAGGAAACATTTTGCCATATAGGAAAACCACAATAAAAATTTGAGGTTTATGTTTGAGGATTATTACCAGTTATCAACTTGGAGGTACCTGAAATTATTTTTTAATGATAATGATGAATTTCGGACAACTCTTATGTACTTCAGTACTTTTGTTTTCGATGTTACATTTAACATCTTCATTCGCTTCGACAGGTAATATAATATCAGTAATTATTTTTTATTGTTGTTTGTTAATGCGAAAATTCTTGCTTTTATTCATGAAAAAATACCTTTGTAATTAACCGATCAATAAAACATCGAATAAAATTGTTTGAAACTTTATATAAGAGAAACGTATAGTGTGCTATCTTCAAAATGATCAGTTGTGTAAAACTTTGGATTTGTTTCCAAGTTTTTTATTTGCTTGTAGACGAAATTATGTTAAATCCAACAGGTATATTTTACGAATATAAATTTAATAATATAAATTGTTATTATTTACTGTTTAGTTGATGATTTGGTCAGACAATGGGCTCCCTTGGTGTGGCTTTCCCCGGGCGAAAAATTCATGCCATACGATGTCGACAGTTTCTTGAACAACGTTTACGTGGCCGACGAAAATGGAAAACGCATATTTCCCAAATTGGATAGAAACGTATCGCAATACAGGACAAAAGGATGGCATTTAAACACGTATCGACCGATTGGTAATAACGCTGTAATTATTTCATGTAGATTAAGTTTTAATGATGCTTCTATTTATTAGGAGAGTTATTAAACGACACGAATTCGTATTTGTATGGTTCGAATCCGACCGAAAATTCAGTTCCAATATATGCGTTAGTGTCTGAATGCAATTCATCGGGAAGAACGGAAAATGATGTGCAAGATAACGCGGAAAACGTTTATTTCCATGTTGCTTATTGGATATTTTACCCATACAATCTAGGGAAAGAAGTTTGTGTAATTGGTAAAACGATTAATTTAATGGAAATATTAGGTGTGCTTATTGACAATTTTTAGGAAATATTCCTACTGTAAAATTGTTTAACACTTGCATTGGATCGACGAAAACTTTAGGCAATCACATCGGAGATTGGGAGCATATGAGTTCGTCGTTTTTCAAAAAAAATTCAACAGTTCCAAATTCTTTGTACGTGGCTGTGCACGATGCTGGTGCCTATTACACTTATAACGAAGAAAACAGGCAGGTACTTCTATTTCTTGAACAATTTAAGTACTAATTTTTGAAGCTATTTAGGACATTCCAATTCCAAGAAGTAAAAAAACAGAACCAGTTGGTCCAAACTCCCAAGTTTCCTAAAATTGTCCGCACTCAAGGCGATCATCCTGTATTATTTTCTGCTAACGGTTCGCACGGATTGTGGTCAACTGCAGGTGAAAATGAATACAATAAGTTACCGAAACTAACGGACCGAACAGGGTAAGAAAAATACCCTTGAAAATAACAACATCTGGAAATATCGAAGATTTAATTACTTTTATTGTTCTATTTTATAGGTACGGAACTCCTTGGAAGACATGGAACAACATTCAAATTTATCATTTAGGAAAAGAACCGTTGCCATACTGGATGAATTTCCGAGGAACTTGGGGAAACCCGAAGAAGAATTGTCTATTAATAAAAAAGCTGGGACTTTGCGAATATTTCGACGGTCCTGAAGGTATAATTCGACAAAACCAGGATTATTACTGCTGATTGAGTGAGTTTCGTTGAATAAAAATGGCTCCAACAACTTATTTAATCGACCAGATTGTTCAATATAGCCATTTCAAAAGAGATGGCGCTACCTGTTAGTAAATACCACAGAACATACTTAATGTTAAATATAGAGTTATAGGTAAATAGAATTGTCGGTAAATAGTAAATTTAAGCAAATATTTTAGATTTCATGAAAAATATAGTAGAATTTTTGTAAAGTTCGTGAACAACTATAGTTGATTTTATAGTTTTCAGAAAGTCCTGGTAAAAGATTTAGATAAAATGAATGTATGTAGGTAGGTATGTACCTATAGTTTTATTATATCATTATGTAAGTTTTCTTCACACTCTATGAGATTATAAATTTGTTCGTAAGTTTCTTCTGCGATTTTAATTTCATCACCATTTTCTTTTCCTAATTTGATTTTCAATTAAATAGATTTCAATTAAGTAAATTTTAAAATTTATTGTTATTTATTTTGATAGTTACCAACATATGTTTTCAAAACAATGAGTATATTTTGTTACAAAAATAAGTCTTACCCGGAAGTTATAACGCAGATAATACCTGGTGAATTTTCCGTGACGATCCTGAACGTGCATAAAGCGCACAAGAGTGCTTTTCTTCACTTAATTGTTTAACAAGTGTTATTTTAGCATGCAATGATGAAGCGAATTCTCAAACGATAAACATTATTGTTAATGACTTTGAAGCCCTTGCTGCTGGTTCCTGCTGTGTTCTAGTGCTCTGTGCTTCTGTACCGTTGCAGTATACGTAATTATTTCAGCTTTACTGCATTTATCTCGTCAACACAAGCATACTCATTAATTATGTACCTACTCCTGCACACATTGGCAGAGCGTTGTTTTCGCTGTATACAAACGGATGTACACCAAGTCGAATTGATCGTATTATTTTTAATTTTATTATTGGTAATTTCTAATTGTTTAAAGTAAAAAAAATATAACAAACATGGTTGACTACAGATAAAAGCGGAGAGTTATATTAAGTAGACAAAAACTAGAAATTATAATGATGTTAATGTAGTAGATATGAAGCCGATTATTTTTACCATAATAACTCAGCAATTTAATTTCGTAATCTCTTCAGCATTCATTGAATCAACAGAAACGGAAATGCATGCACTCGCTATTGTACTCGTATACCATACACCATAAAGTTGTTAATATTAAGCCAGGGCCCAGGAACAATTCGATGTTGCGCCGTCATCAAAAAGTGGTGTGTATGCAAATGTTTGGCGAGCATTTAATTTCATTACGCTAGAACTAGCCTGGCGTGAACAGAAATTTGATGTAAACTATTTGTAAAGATTGTCCTATCTTCCTCCGCCGCGACTTAATCCTCTAAAGCCAAAAACAACTTACAGTGCAGTCGTAATTATGGTGTGAATGCAATAATTAAAGCATTTAATTGGTAAGCGATTTACCAGGTGTGTGATTAATTAAGCTCCCGTGAAACTTGGGTAACACAATCTTCGGGAATGATTGAGTATTAAATGGGACGTTCAGTACATAACCGCTTTTATGCACATACTATATTACGTACGTAGGTATTTCCAACCGCGATGCATGCCAGTGCATCAAAATATTTATTTATTTTTATAATAGAACGCTTTGCACGTCCATCGTTCAGCACGCTTGTTGCGTTATTGCTCAAAGTTAGAGCTAATGGCGAACAACACGCATTAGCATTCAGACGAGTGCGGACGGGTCAAATAGTAGTCGAGTTTAATATCTTCTGTTTGGAATATCTTCTAACATTTACCTGTTATATTACCAATCCCTACTAACTTATAATAATTTAGTAGGTATACATTAGGTAGGTATGTATTGCAATATTTAAATAGCGTGCAGGTGCAAATAAAATTTTTCCAATTACAAGAAATAATTCATAATAGTAATTTATTCAGTACAAAAAAAGTTCGATTGCAGCTACTCAGAAATTCGCAAAGTTTATTCACTAAAGTATACAGTCGCTCATTCCGTTTGAAACGGCTGCGTTTCTATTGTTTGAGCCTCCCGTCTCCGTTATTTCCATATTTTATATCAATATAATCTACAATAATTTTCCTTGACGTTACAATACGAGAGAAGAAATAACCTCGGAATTGCACTGGGTAGAATAATTTGCTCTTGAAGATTGAAATTTAACCACAACGGGCGCATTTTCAGTTATACTGGAAATATCAATTAAAATTGTAATGAAAAGTGAAAAAAAAAAACTTCTCTTATTATTAACTAATTATTACTGATGTGAAAACCAGCATTGTCCATTCCTGCAAATATTCTAAAATCTTCATAAATTGCACAAACATTACAACGTGAATAGAAGGAAATTAGAACAATGGGAAAACATTTATACCGAAATTTTTGGATAAATACTTTTTTTCACGTATAATTAAAAATCCTGTTTGCAATGTTTTGTTCCCTTCGTTAATCAAATTTTACGCTATACTGGCTCAATAATTAACTCTCTCATCTTTATTTCCACCCTTTTCGATTTTCACCGGACAAATTACCCTTATCAGAATAAATGCGCGGAAGGTAGCAGGAATTGGGTATATCACTAATAATAAAACCGACAAAATAAAATAAATACGCATTTCCTAATTATATATATACTGATTAAATTTTATGATTATTTTTCTGCCTGTGAGAAATGAAATTCCTGAAGATATAAGCGTAAATTAAACATTTTATATACCGTTTGTTTGTGGGAATGTAGGCGGTAATTAAAGAATAAAATGTAATTTACAATTTTTTATTTACTTTACCCGTTTCCTTTATATATACACACCCTTTACAAAGTCGTTAATTTCGGTAAAAGCCGAATAAAAAGAAAATTGTCCGTTCTTCCTACTAACTGTCCGAAAATTATCTTCTGATTAATTATACACGATTCCATGCTTTGTATTACATTAATCCACGTCTATTGTTTTTCTGATAGGAGATCATTAATTCATTCAAGAGTTTTTGGCGACCATTTCTACATAATCATTCATGCATGTGACATGAATTGTCTTTGGTTCATATTTAAACATTGTGTACCTACATATATTATAGTAGTAGGTATACAAATAACTGCAACTTCACGTTAGCCAAAAATAATCTCAAACAATCTATATTAAGAAATGTAATTACATTTTCGATTTTATCCTCGTTTTTAATCAATTATACTAATTTTAATTTGTATATTTGTAGTCTTTGTTTTGGAGAACAAGGGGAAAATACGAGTAGTACGTTTCGAGCTCATTCTGTGACTTGCTTTATAACTTTCATGTTTATTAAAGGGTTCCTCGAGCATTCTTTCTTTTCGAATTAATACAGTGATGTTGCAGATAAAAACTGTTGGGGCTTTTGATCATTTTAATGAAGCTTTTGTCAGAGGAGAAGCTTATTAATGGCTATGAATTATTTATTCTCCTATAATTAAAGGCGCAATCGAAAGTGTGTACTTCCATAAAATATTTCATTTGTTCCGTTTAATATTACACTAGTTTGGTAGACAATTCCATATAAACTTTCCGTTTATATAACGTGTCATTCTACAATTTTCCTAAATATTTAGACGAGCAAAACGAGTAATAAGTTTCGAAAGCGACAATCTAGCTGCATAATTTAGAAATACTTCACTAACATTATCATCTATTCGCGAGAGGCAGGACATGCAGTAACAGTTATGACTATTTAGAGCACATAATTATAGTTGAATGACTTCGAATTCAGACCTTTTGTTGGACTGCCGGCGGTGGTTGGCGATGGCGAAAGGCAAAAACAGCCGAATAAACTGGAACACTGAACTTTGCCAAGATAGCAAACTCATTTATTCTGATATTTATGGGAATAGGCAGCGACAGAAGCTTTAATTGAAATTTATACTGTGATTCGCGAGACGATTATTACTTAATCGGACTTTGGAATTTATTATGATGTTTGGTTCAAACTTGCTTTGGGATGGATCAACCCTTCCAATAAGGACTAAACAGACGGAAATATATTGAAAGTTCAAAAGAAGATGATCTTAAATTATAATTAGTTATTCAGAGTATAAATAATGTTAAATTAGATTTGTAAGAAAATACTTATTAAATGTGAAGAAAAAAATTTAATCAACCGCTATTACCAAACCCTAATTATCCGAAATAATAAAACAGCTCTTACTTTAGAGTATTAATTATAAATTTGTTGAGACCAGACCAGATAAAGTTTCACTAAACAACCGAACTTTTCCCAACTAAATAATGATGTAATGGAATTTTGTATTTAGTTACTTCAACAGTTGGAAGCCTTTTTCTACGAAGTGCTTTAACTACCATTTGATTACAGAATAATCCTCTGCTTCATAAATGAATTCATTTCAGAGCTCATTTGCGAACAGACAACGCGAAAGAAAAAAATTGCATTCGTTCGGATGTCGCATTTCGTCCATTTTGTCTGATTTATTTAAAGGTTTTTGATTACTCGATAGGTTTTTTTTCAGTTAATTTTTAACTTGGTTTGTTTTTAATTAATTTAACGTAGTTTGTTGGGCTTTTTATTATTATTCCCTCGATGAAATATGTTCATATAAACTTCATACATCAAATTGTATTATGTATAACATACAGCTTTAAACCTACTTGGTAAAGTTGTGTGCACCTACATAAGTAAAATGGATATAAGATTGGATATCCTTCAAAGACAGTATGTTACCCAGTTTTCGCTATTATCGAGAATATTTGATAATTTTCTAGACTTATTACATTCATTATTCAGAAGGCTGTACTTCCAGCCTCAGGGGAAGCGTCCGAGATAGCGTTTCAATCTGAAAATGCGGTTTGAGTTCAAATCGTGCTCGCTTTATGAGAGACCAAACTAGTAGTTTTCTCTCAATATTTCGTTGGAAATATTTTCTTTAACCTTTCAATAAATTATGATTACAGTTAGTCCAATTTCTTTAAAAAATCATGATTGCTTACTTTTCTATACTAGAAAATTTTAGTTTTCTCTCATTGTAGGTATATACCTAAATCGATTTTCCTCATGCAGATATATCAGCATTCAGTACTGGTACATTTCTATTATTATGCTCACTTTAATTGCAAATTGTCTTTATTGTGTTAGATAAGTTAAGAATATAATTCTCCAATAATTATTGGATGAGCAATAACTATGATTTAGAACTTTCGAAATTAACGTAAAGCAATAAAAACATATCCTAAAGCGTTTTAACAGGAATTAAAGGATTTATCTGAGCGGCCGTTAAAATAACCAATAACGTAAAATCGCTTTCACGGAATTCGCAGCTTTACGCTAAACCTTTAATAATA